TTCCCTAATTGATTGAGGTTTTTTTTGTCATCCATCCTGGGATCTTTTTTTACCTTTAAAAAAGAGTTTTATTACTTTAAAACTTGCTGCCCTATTCGCTGCATGTCATAGTTTCGGTTAATGACACGGCACACTTCAAAGATCTGCATGTAACTTCTACTGGGAGTGAAAAGATTTTGTTATTGATCACTTTTAATATATTGCATTTATGCTCTACTATATTATTACCAATACTAAGGTGCAGGAAGCAAATGCCAACGTGCACTTTACAAGATGTGAACCAGATGTGGAAATCAGCAGTTGTTATAAACACACTGCTATTGAGCTTACATTTATTATTTTAATGTTACTTGACAGTTTTGGGGTAGGGTTTGGACTCAATTCCTACTGAATTAAGAAAAAAATATAGCTTCTAGTTAAGATGGTGATAAAGTGAAGAGGAATAAGCTCTTCTTTCTAGAAAAGTTACATAGTGCTTGCCTTGTTTCTTCTATCGTACAGGCAAAATCTGGTGGTCTTTAACTACCAAAAAAAGAAATAAAAAAATAAAGACTATCCTCTAGCTAGAAAAGGATTACTTCATGATAAGAGTTATCATTTTTGGTACAGGCTGCTTTCAAAGACTTGAGCCTGTACAACTTTTCATTCTCATATTGCCTTAAAGCGTACTGCTTTTGTTATTATGACAAATGAGTTAGTAAGAATTACGTTTTTAAAACTTTTAATCGATCCATCTTTCTAAATATTTGAATTAAGCAATCATACAGATTTCTGTAGTAAGCTTTGTCCTTTTTCTTTCTATATTCTTTTTGCTCTGTCTTATCTGTCCTTACTGTGCCATATCTAAAATTAGAGAGGCATTGGGTGTCATCGTCAAGGACACTGGAGAAAACACCCGTTACCTTCAAAGGGACCACAACTTCCCTCATTCCTTGGAGTTGTTTTGTTTTGTTTTGATTTTGTTTTTTTTGGAGGGGGTGGAGGGAAGTGGGGAAGGAATAGGGCACGAGGGGAATTTTAACTATATAACAGAATTGTCTATACAATTTCCTAAAATGCATTACAGGGTGAGATCTGACAAGGCAAACTGCTGTGCCATAGGTGCTGGTTTTGGGAGGCATTCAATAGATTTTGATGGAGGTTGTTAATCCCAGAGCTTCTCAGTAAAACAGAAAGAGTAACACAGATGTTAAATAATTATGTTCCTTCTCTTAAATATATTGCAATAGTTATAGAGAATTTGGTAACCTTTCTTTAATGTATTTGGAACAAGAATCTAGAACTACTACAGTGGAAAAGGTAGTAGCTATAATGTTTTAATTTTTATTGTCTTTCATGGAATTTGTCACAGTACAAGGTAGTTCTGGGTACTAACAGGTAATAAAGCAACTTTCCAAGTGCTTTGCACCTACAAACTCAATATACCCTGAGGCTGCAATTCTAGAGTATTCAATGTATATTAGCAAAATTGCTGAACTCGTATACAGCTATTGTCTTTTGGTATTACCCTGTTCAGCATATTTTTGAGAGATGATTACTGATTAGACCTACTTTGAGGATGGATTTTAAAGAAAATATGGTATCTCTGAAGTGAAAGTATGCAATTTCTTAGAATATGTTTTGTCTGATATATCTAAGTTAAACCTTAATGTTGTTCTTTATTAAAATTTCTTGGCTTAGTTTATTCTGCTAGGTACTTTCTCATTGTCTGTGAAGACTACGTTCACTTTAATAATTTTTTTTTATTATTATTTTTACTGCAATCTCAGTTCTTTCTAAACAGAAAACCAATTTTTCTTCAAATAGGACAAACTTTTGCTCTTCATCCTCACTATGCTGGATTATGGAAACATTTTTTAGCAAACAAGAATGCAGTTACTCAGAGTGGAATGTTTGCAGCGCTATGCTGTGGATTTTCTTCTTACTTAAATTATGTTTTAAAAAAACCTATGTTTTCCCATAGTAAGGATATATCTGGCAAAAACCCAAGAAAATGTTTTCTCTGTATAGAATTTGATAACTGTAGCCACAACATTGTGTATCTCTTTAATGACTATTCAAAAGGTCAGAAGTTTGGGAAAAATGTAAATGCTATTAACTTTGTTAACAGGAGTGTTTCCCATGTCAAGAGACACTCCACTCAGAATCTAAAAGGGGTAGGGAGTGTTACTTAGGGTTTTCTCATTCATTTTCTCATTCCAGTTGTTTGCTAGTTTAACTTTATTTCAGGATTATAAGATGGTGATCTTTGCTAACAGGACTTTAATTCATTTATTGAAGGATGAAAATGAGCCAATCTAATAATTTTTGAATCAGACTTTTTTTTTTTTTTTTTTTTTTTTAATAATAAGAACTCATTTTTTTGTCTGTGTTGAGATCCACAGTGACTCCTGGAGCAAGATATTTGGTTCTATTTGTCGAATTATCATTCCTGTATGAAATTAAAGACACAACCCACCCATTCCTAGAGAATCTTTACAGTAAAGGAATGTTAGCTAGCACTTTTCCCTCCTATTTTTTTTCATAAAAGATTAAATTAATTTAATGAGGAGTAGCAGACTTTTTGAACTGAAGATAGTTATTTCTGTATCTTATTTTACTTTCTGATAATCATTTCATACCTATGCTAATACCAGCATTTTATTAATGTTACATCTTACAGTCTTTCTAGGCGGGTTTTGACCTGACTAGAGTTCCATTCTGATCCCCTGCTACATTCCACCAGAATTAACTCAGCACCAGCTAATTCCTCTTCCATATCATCTTCTATTATTCCATTTATAACTGCAGCCTTCTGACCAATTTCACAGAGTCACAGTAGGGCATGCTCCCTGCTATAATCTTTTTATATTTCGCTATTCCTGTCCAGGGAGACAGTTTAGTTATGCACTGCTGTGTCCTTCCCAAGGGTACCACGTAACCATTTTATAGCAGTTACTAGATGCACGTGCTTCTCCTTGATATTCTGTATAATCATTGGCTTTGTTGATATAACTTACAAATATATTTCTGTGGGGTTTTTGTGATTTATTTCTGAAAAACAAAATCAAGAGCCCTATTGTGATGCAACAGTACAAAAGCGAGCTTTTCAACATAAGAGACAAAAGGTACCCCAGTCTCTTTTTAAAGCCTAAAATATTTCTGTTTACCACAATATTGCCTTTTTCAATTTTATAGCGTATGCCACAGTTAATACCTACAGAAATTATGTATATGTATTTAATTAACAAAATACTTTTTCCTTAGGAATAAAATGTCAAAAAGGAGCGTTAATGTAACAGAAACATCACTGCAGTTCACAGACCTGGAATATAACTATCAGTATAGTGCTTATCTAACATCAAGTACAAGATTTGGAGATGGCAACCTAAAAAGCGATACGATAACATTCAGAACTTCTGAAGGAGGTAAGGTTATATACAGTATAAATATTTAATTTCACTCAGCCTTAAATTTGTGTCAGCCTTCTTTATGTTAGTAAAGCTTCTGAAGTAGAAGTGACATTTGACTGGTCGAGAGGAGACATTCTACTTGTCTGTGTGTGTCTGTCTATGAATGGACACGTATCTATGCCTCTATAAAACAGTGGTGAATATCTCTGTTAATTTACTGAGCAAAACTTTGCATTTCCCTTCAAGACAGGCAAGATTAAAATAATTTTAAATTCTGAAATAAATCATTTTATCGTATTTTAATAACTTTTGGCTTTGGGAAGAGTGACACAACTCTTGACAGGGAAAATAAACTTTAGAGTCTCACAAGTCTGAAAATGGTTTTAATTTGAAAATGAAATCTGTAAGTGCACACTGACTTGTTCTGTTTTACTGATTTTATACCTCCAACATGGTAGATGACCTGTATAAAGGGTTATACTCTATAATGTGCTTTGAAAGTAATTCAGTTTGATTATTGTTTTTGGTTTTCCCATCAATTACATTGCTACAATCTGTTCCAAAATTAATAGTATGCAGACATACTTCAGAATCAGCCTGCACAGATAAGCTGAATTCCCAACACACAATCACTGGCAGGATTAGCATCTATCCAGGCCATCCCTCCAAAGACTGCCTAAATCATCAGGTTGTAGGTATTCTTAGTCTTTGCTATTGAAGATCTTATGGAAACATGAACTGACTTTTTAGGGCAGGATTTTTAGGAATTGATCCTGAAGTTCCCCCTCCATTTAATATTTTAGTATTTTACACAAACTAGAACAGCACACTGCAAGAAAGATAACTTCCAGTGTTCAGTACTGTACTGCACGCTGTGTAGAGCACTTTCTTGGATGGTGAGAAATATGGATTTAAATTCTCTTAAGCTGATTGAAGAAGCTGAATTTGAGTGTCTTACATCACTGTGCTACTGAGAAGGACCATTCACTGCTATTGTATACAGGAGAGGAGGAGAGGATAATTGAAGAAGACTTACAGAATCTTTCCTGCACATTTAATTGGCTGAGGAAAAAACAAATTATCATACTGTCCAAGTTTAGATATCTGATTCACCTACATGATATGGGAGCCTAAATTCTGTTTAAAATCTGCAAAGAGAGAACAAGGCTTTTAATTTATTTGTTTCTAAACCAAATAGCTTTTTTTTCTTAACTATGTATGGGTCGTAGAGACCTAACTAAGTCAACTTCCATGTCTGCAGATTAGAATCCCCATGTACCCAAAGCAATAAGTACAGAACAACTTCTTTAAGAAAGTATATTGGTTTACAAATGCAGCTAAATACAAATGTATCTGAAAATAATGCATTATAAAAATTTCTTTGTGTCTACTATTTTATTTCATAATTTCCAGAATTTGGTTTTGTACCATAATCAGAAACACATTTAATTTGACATAGAACATTTTTAAATGTATAGGGGATGTTTCTTGGGCACTAAAATGTACAAAACCTTGAGTTAGGTATGCTAAAACGTAACATTTTTCCAGCACCAAGTGATCCGCCGAAAGATGTGCTGTACAGAAACCTTACTTCCACATCAGTAATGCTATTCTGGTCTCCTCCTCAAAAACCTAATGGAAATATACTATACTACTCAGTTTATTTCAAAAATAATTCAGGAATATTCATACAGGTAAGTTTCTTTTCATATTCTTATTTTGCAGAATTCAGTGAAGTCTTTTAATAATTCATTAAAGATTAAATCAATTTTTTAGTGCTCAGTATATTGTTTTGTCAGATTTCCTTTATCACAAAGCACTTTTTTAACTTATAAATACAGAAGCATGTGTTGTATTCCTATGTATTGTGTTGTACATCTCATTGGACATTCACATCATTAAGCATTAAAGCAAATAGATTTTGTGTAATATTCTGTATTGCATAGTTGACATGTACACGTATATATACACACATCTAATACACATAAGTACACAATATCTATATAAAGATAGACACAAGACCCGTAACAATTCTTGCCCATCCTTAAGACTGTTCATTTTAGTCTAATCTATCAGTTTGAATAAATTTCGGTAACAGTTCTGGTTTTACTTTTTAATACGTGTTTGTACAGTACCAAAAATAAGGAGATAGTGTCAAAGTAGTGAATACATTATTATTTCATATTTTTTTTACTCTCAAAAGGAAATTTCTGTTTAGTATACTGAAGCAAAGATGTTGAGATTTTTAAGTTAAAACATAAAGGAGAAAGAAAATGTTATTTATAATTTTTGGATGAACCGCACACTTCCATGCAGAGTTTTTTGTTGCTACTTTGATGCTTAATTATGCACCACATTTATTAATTGTATGTATAGTTTTTCTGGTCTTCTTTCTTAGAATATATTATGATGAAGAAATAAGCTTCCTTTACAGGTTTTTGGTCACAAGCTTTACACATGTGGAAGAAAAGAAAGAAATATAAATTCGTGAAGAAACTATTGCATGAAAAATTACCTCTACTGTATAACTTTATGATCAAGATATGTCTAGTGTGAGGTATGCATGTGTTTGAGGAGAACTAGAAAAAAAAGTTTACAAGTTTTACAGATACCTGTAACTGAATAAATACTGACATACTTCACTGTATATATTCTTCTGACTTCTGTGAAGCTGTGCGGTTGCCAGGCTCTTTCTGCATAGTTTCAGATGCCATGAATTCACATTCTGATGAGATTAAAATCAGGGCTACAGCTCAGAGCTTCAGACTCTGCTTGCTCACACTTCTAGATCAACAGCATTTTTCTTAGGCTAACAAATCCCTGGAGAAGCCTTTACACCAGCATATTAACTGAACTAGCCCACCCTGTGAAGAGAGTTTAATTTTATCTAATACTTGGACAACTCAAGAGGTTTTGGAGGAGGACCATAGACTTGGGCTGTTCCTGCCTTTAGGAAAGTGGAACTCTGAGGTGAATGAGTAAGGTGAAACTGATATAATGACAGCTAAAATCCCTCTGTCTGTGCTCAGGACTCTGGAAATGAAGGAGCAAGTTAGGGAAGATGAATCTCCGTAGCCCTGGCCCAGCAAGATGAGGGCTTAGTTTCAGTATCATGTAGTGTAGTTGCATAAGGAAAGGATGGTGGCGTGGGTAGAAGTTACTGTTGCTTTGGCATATGATGTGGTTGGTGAGTGGCAGAAAAGCGCTGACAGTAGTTCCACTTCTAGGTGTGGAAACTAGCATTTTTGCCCTTTCAGCTTTGATTTTTAACCCATCCCTCTGCCATCAAAAGATAGGTTTCAGCTGCTGTTGCATCTGTCTCTTACTGGCCATGGAAGATCACCATTAATCTATCAAATGATGATCCACTGCTAATCTGTCTGCTCTCCTTAGCTCTCTCTGCCCTTCACATGCCTCTCTGTTCACTGTTTAGTATGGCAGCTACCATATTTTCATTGCACTTGCATTCCTGGGGGTGCAAGACAGATTTCAAAGGGAAGGAAAAAAAAAGCTCTGCCCTGCTCCGTTTCTGTCAGTTATTGTACATTCCTCTTTATACAACAGAGAAATGCGTGTGTGAAAGGCAGCCTGATGTGTGTGTATATATATTATATAGATGAGGGATACAGACAATTGTACACTGTAGGAGTGTATACACACACACACAGCTTATGACTGTCTGTACCTTAGGAGTATAACCATGTAGTTGCAAGATCTGTCGGTTAAGCTTTGTACTCACTCATCTGGAAAGAAAAATCCTTAGCTGGAATAGTCTGCATCTAGGTCACCATTCTGCTCATGTTTATCTGAATGGTATTTTCAGTTTGGGAAATGATACAGGAGAATTAAAAACACGGATGATCTTTTCACATTTCTAGGAACCCTACCTGCTCAGGCTATGGGCAGATATTCTCTACCAGTATTTCATCTGCTTCTTTGTCAGGATGTAGTAACAGAGGTCCAAGTCTTAAAGTATATCTTCTAGACACTTGATAAAACATTCTCGCTGAAGAATATCAAGCAAGTGGACACCATTAAATACTGTCATAATCTGAAATAGATAAAAAAGCTGTACTGAAACTAGTGCTATTTTGTTGTCTCAAGTTCTTGCTTCTCCTCACAGGTCCTTCTCAGGCATATTAAAACCTAACTAATATGAAGCACCGATTGTAAATATGTTAAAAACAGGAAATTAATAGCTGCAGAGTAAAGCATTTTGTTTAGGGGTGAAAAAAAAAAAAAATAAACCCCGATACAAAGGATGTAGTTTACTCCTTGACACGATGCAGAAACTTGCAGGAAAAATAGTTTTCTTTTTAAAAGAAAAAAAAAAGTTACATACCTTCATAGGGCAGAAGAATAATGTATAGTTTCTTTACTTTGCAGATCTACATGACAAATCACACTGTGGCTGTCAGAAAGCCTGGTATGCTCAGACCTAGGATTCAGAACCAGAGCAGCAGAAGGAAAAACTTAGTGATGGAGATTAGATTTGAGGATTTTGGTCGATGAGTGGGCTGTTTCTATGGGGATGCTGACAGGTTGTAAAAGAAGACATGTCAGAGAGAGAGGAATGACTGGTAGCCAAGCAGAAGAAACAATCACATGCACTAGGCTAGGTTCAAGTTCAGTTTTATCTTTCATCTTCTGCTGCCACAGGTCTAAGGAAAATGCTACTTTTTGGTTTATGTTCACTACTGTGCACCAGTGCAGTAAAGATACAGCACATATTCTGATGTATTCCATCTCCTACACAGATGACATGGAACTGTACCTCTTGTTCACTTTTCTGTGACACTGCTCAATTACTACAGTTCAAGCTTTCACTGTTTGCAATAGGAACTTTACAAGTTCTGCTCCACCTTGTATGGACTTGAAGCAATCCTACTGCTCATGTTCTCAGTCTTATTAAGGAAAGAAGTCAAGGAATCTATGGAAGTAATTTTCTCGCTGCTAAATACTGATCTATAAGAGATATCATTGACCTGAATAAACTCATATTCTATCTCGCTATACCTGTGTTTTGATTAGCAAGAAGTTGGGAAAGCTGCTGATTACAAATACAAATTTATGCTTGGAGAAAGTTCTTCAGTGTAGGAAATTTACTACAGATGAGAACTGTCCTACCTCTGCCAAACCAGAAAGGGGAACCAGGAGCTAAGCAGAGAAAAAAAGCCCATCGCCCTTCTGGAGACTGAACGTTAGGCCCCAAATCATCCAAGCCCTGTACTTCGAGCCAACTTAAGTGAACATGTCTTGGTACTGTACAGAGTGAAATTCAGGTTGGTCTGCCCTCGGGATGCAGGCAAGGGGTACAGGCAAAGAAAGGGATTATCTTCAGTTAGGAACAGTGTGCATTATGCTCCTTGAGGGATAACTTGGATTAACCTTCACAGCGTCACCACTGTCACCTGATTGCCAGAGTCAAGTATGTGATACTCTTAACTCAAAACAACAGAGAGAAATGGAACAGGGGAAAAAAGTTTAGGAGCGAAGAACAGCAGCACTGTGTTGTCTGTATACAATTAATTACAGCTTTATGTCACTGGAAGTTTCTGCCGCTTCCTGAGGTGAAGAAGATACTGCTTGCTGCTGACACTTTCATGGCCTGTGTGTATTGCTTACACTTAGCTGCTTTTAATAATCTGATACTTTGCTATGTCAAAACTTCTTTCATGTATGGATGAAGAAAGAGACAGAAGGAAGAATTTCTTTAGCTGTAGCCAAAGATCCTGGGCTGTTTGCTTTCATCTGGAGCCACAGTTAATTGTAAAACTTCCTATAGTGTTCTATCCCCAGGGTACAATTAGTGCCAGTTTCATCTTTTCTCAGTTTGTACCCACACAGTTCTTCCTGCTCACCCTTACTCTTAATTAAGTGGTCAATCTCTTGTAATATTTTGTTGTATCAGAAGTTTGAAGTAATCCCCAGTCCATGGGCTCCTCATGGTAAGGGGACTACCTCTTAAAACAAGTTTTATTGAAACACCAGAAAGCCTGTTATAGTGTTCATGTTGGTTCACTGAGTCCTTAACTGACAGACAGCTGACTAAAATGTAAGGGTGTGCTTTTTAAACTAAGAGTTGGATTTTCAGCTGTTCATTCCAATAAGCTCCCATTCAATCCAGAATCAAAATTTGGTGTGTTGCCTTTGACATTTTTACTTTGAAAGCTCATACAATGACTTAAGGACTTTTAAAAAAATCTTATTAGGTGTTATTATTATCAATTACTAATTATTAATTACAATATCTAGTAGTAATAACAGGAGGTTAGTAGAATGATGCTTTTGAGTCAGAAGGTATTTTCTGTCACACTGTGCTTGAGCATCAGAAATTTTTAAGTAAGTACCTTAGAATTGGATCCTCTGTTTCCTGTACCTTACTCTACTCAAATGTAAAGCAGTTATTCCAGCCTTTCCCAGTCAGTTAAGCGAAGCTAGTGTGAGCTTCCGTCTAGGCTTAGAAGAAAGTCATATATCAAGGTGGAATTTCTTAGTATTTTGGCTGATGATGACTTAACCAAATCTTCCAGAGAAACCCAACAGTATCCTTTAAGTCTGTTAATAGGAGTGGGTATAGAAATTTATACTGCCCATTTGTGCAGCTTCGGCATTAAAAACAAAGGCCTAGATTTTAACTGTGAAACAAACTGTTTATTTATGTATGTTGCGTGAGCACTAGTGACTGTAGGCAAAACTAGGTCTTCAGATCTTTCTATAAAAAAATCAGGAAAATGGATGAGAATGTCACCTATTGTTTACTGGAGAAATAGAATAATTTTGCCTGTACAAAACAGTTGGTGGTTATGTTAGATATATGAATTGATACCTATTGGTGATAGACATCAAGATTGCATACTGAACTCTCAGTTTGCACGGTACTGAGTGTATCACGGTCACGTCTTCAGTAGGAACTTTCCTCAAGAGAAATATAACTCTTTATTTAGTATGCAGTTTTAGTATGCTTCTGTTTCTATGTGGTATTTCTGAATTTAAATATGCAGGCATTAGTCACCTTCCTCCTGTTTTAGTAAGTCTGCTATCACAGTCTCTCTTTTTTAATTTAAAGACAGCTTTGATTTTAAGGAGATGGAGGGTGTGAATAAGATGTAACACCAAAAATAGCAGGAGACCAAATAAATGGATTTCAGCAGGTGGTTGGGCAAGATCCAGCCCACCATGACAATGTTGCTATATAGAAAAATTAGGGGACTTCACTGGTCCTGAGAAGTGCTACCCATGCCATCTGCTTAACAGGGTGATGTGGCTGCCTGAGAAGGATGATACTGACTCTTTGACTCACAAGTAAACTTTAACTTCCTACCCAGTGCTGAAGCCAAGTGTGTTTATTGGGTACACAACTTCTCAACAGTTTTCAAATCATGAACCAGACTGCTTTGGATTATCAAAGTCAGGTTCCTGTGAAGCAGTGGGTATTTGACACGTTCCGTTATGTGCTATAGCTGGCCTTATATAAATAATGTGACATATTATTTTCTTTTCAGTTTCCAAAATGGTTCATTCCAGACAGGAATAGCCTTCTCGGGGGGGCTGATCTAGAGCACTAACCTATTACGAGAGTCACAGTTTCGGTGGAATTTTTAAATATAGTTTAAAGAAAAGTGGGAATTGGTTCTGGTGCAATCCTTTTGTTAGCAAGTAACTGGAATAGGTTGTCCAGACAGGTGGTGGAGGCTCCATCCCTGGGGACATTCAAGATCAGGCTGGATGAAGACTTGAGTAGCTTGATCTAGTTGGAGATGTCCCTGCTTATGGTGGGGGGGTTGGACTAGATGACCTTTGGAGGTCCCTTCCAGCCCAGACATTCTATGATTCTAACTGCACAAAGAAAATAAATTCCATCAGTTCCTTCAGTTTAACACAATCCACTGGGTATAGATGTTTGCATTAGAAATAATGTCATGTTTTTAATTGAAAGAGCAACAAACAAAAGAAACAGTTTATCAAGTGTTGCAGTGAGATCTCTGCTACTGTAAATTTTAAGTTCAAAATCAAACAGTTTTCTGTAAGATCTACTTTCATAAAAATGGAATAAGGTGAGAGAAGTCCTTTGATTTGTTGCATGCAGATCAGGCAAGGCAGTCACATGTAATCTGTGAGCAATTAGCAGATAACAGGGTTTTTGTCATTTTCTTGATGCAGTCAGTATGGATAAACTCATTACCATATTACAGATGTAGTGTATTTTAGAAAAAAGTGGATTGGCATTCAACACCTGCAAGCAACAGGAGTCGTCAACCATGTACTCTGTAGTACTTATAAGGAGCAACAATAGACATAATTCAATAAATTGCCCAAGTATTTCAGTAAAAATCAGGGCTCAGTAGGGGTCACAGTGAAGGTTTATGTCTCCTGAACACTATGGTGAATCGTATCTATTGGTGTTGGTGATGGCTAAATGGGAAACTAGAAAGATAAATCAATGTATACCATTTTTAATGGCAACATTTTTGTTTTTCCTTTAGAATTTTACGAGTTATGGCAATGACAGTGATGTCACCATGTCTCAGTCTGCAGTTCTGGATGACCTGGCAAAATACAGCCATTATACTCTATGGTTAACTGCAAGCACTGCTCTTGGAGATGGAAACAAAACCAGTGAAATAATAGAGGTTTATACGGATCAAGATAGTAAGTTAATAACTTTTTAAATGCTTATTGTGTATCAGTGCTTCCATTCATTAAATATTCTCTAACTTAAAAATTATTTTACTGTTGTGGTGGCAAAGTGAAAAAAAAATCCAGTAAGTACCATTTTCAATACTGCAGTATTATTCCACGCAAGAAAGACATTTCGATCTGAGTTACTTTGTAATACTAAGAATGTAGTTCACAAGCTTTCTCTTTGGATAGGATCAAAAATAATATTGTCTTAAACTCTCATTCAGACTCTTTTGTTAAACAAATTTAATGTAGATGATTTTTCATATATGCCTTCAAAACATTTTGCTTTTGATAGTGAAACAAATTATTTTTAAAAGTTGTACTAAACATTACAAATGAAATTTACAGACTAAGCATACTTTGAGCATTTCTTTCCGGTTTTTGGATGCTTCATTACTGTAATCTATGCATTTATTTTTTGCTTATTATCTCTCATAGTCCCAGATGGTTTTGTTGAAAATCTGGTCTATCAAAACATTTCCTCATCTTCTGTAAATGTAAGCTGGCTTCCACCATCCCAGCCAAATGGCTTAGTCTTCTTTCATGTTTCTCTAAGTTTATTGCAACTGGGAACCAAAAAGACACTGTCTTTCCTTACTTACAATACAAGTATCATTTTTGACAATCTGGAGAAATATTCTGATTACATTCTGAAAATCACACCAGCCACTGAGAAAGGATCTTCTGAACAGTATGCTCTAAGTCTGCATATAAGAACTGATGAAGATGGTAAGACAAGTATATTTTATTCATTCCTAAGGAAATATGGGGGGGAGGGGTAGGTTGGGGGTGGCAAAGCTTTCTGAACGAGAAACAGATTAGTGTTTATTTTTCTCACGTTACTTAAAACTTTCTGTTTTACAACACAAACAACTGCTAAGCATTTTTGTGTTGAGACCATGAAGTAGAATTTTCCACTCAGATCACAATTTTAACTGATAGATAAAGACATTTTTCACTGTAACTCGTATTTTTCTGATGTTATTCTTGGTTTTCTCTTTCTTATTTCTTCGTGTAGTCCCAGAATCAACACCTATAATAAAAACATTTTCAAATCTTTCAACTACCTCAGTTTTGTTTTCATGGGACCCTCCTATTAAGCCAAATGGTATTATAATAAGTTATGATTTAAAATTATTTGGGCCGGAAAGGAATAACTCATTCTCTACCATCAATAATTCTATCATCTTGGAAGACCTTCTGCCATTCACATTATACAGCATTTATGCAGCTGCAAGAACAATAAAAGGACCTGGTCCATCTGCCATGCTTCAGTTCTACACAGATGAGTCAGGTGAGCATATTCAATTGCAATCCATATTTGCCCTATGTTAATGCATCTATCTTAGATCCAAAAATCAGACCTGGAGAAAGCTGAGATGAAGAATTAATTTTCCACTGATCTGTGCATGAAGAGCTTTGAGAAGAAGGAAACACTACAAGGGAACTCTTTTCTGAGTTCTTCTCCTGACATCACAGAGTGTAAAAGGAGGTCACATTCTACATAGGATTACAAAAAGAACCCCAAGGTGAAATGTCTTTTGCCTTTAGAACGTGTCACAGTTTGCCATGTCAGGGATTACTGAAGTAAACAACTTCTCTTTATCCATAAACATAACCAAAAAATGATAAAACATGGAAATGTTTCTGACACGTTCACACATGTCTGCTTTACTTGGACGTCCTCTAACCTGCATGGTAAAGGACATACTGGTAAATATATATTGAGTTGTGCTCAATATATTATGTAGGAAGTGAAATATATCACATTCCAGTAATACATGTAATACGAGTTTTGTTAAATGCCTTGGTTCTGGCAATGGGGATGTTTAAATGGTGAACAGATTTGTTAGATCTCGAAGAAGATCCTTTGATGACTAAACATGTATTCAATAGCATTTCTGTTTTGCAGTGCCATTAGCTCCACCCCAGAATTTGACCATTACCAACTACACGGCAGATTCTGTGTGGCTAAAATGGGATCCAAGTCCCAAGCCAAATGGTGTTATTCTGAGATATAATTTAAAGATTTATCAAAACAACACTGAGAAACTATTTTATCAGGTATGTTTATAGTTAACAGTGCTTCATTTTTTAAAATGCTCTTTTTCATGCTTTGGGAACAAGTTATATAACAAATAGTTTAAATGTCCGTTATGCTCCTAAAATTATGAAGCTCCTCTAAATACCTATTTTTTAAGACCATTTACTTACCCTCCCATCATTTCTGTAATTTAATTTTTAAAATTAGATTGAAAAAGTTAGTTAGATTTTCGTTTGCTTTGAGCTTCTAATTTTTTATTAATGATGAGCTTTATTAATCTTATTTCATGTTTCACTGTGTGATGTTAGAAAATGACAGAAGTTACTTGTTTTGTGGCTATCTTTGTTTAGCTATTCAGTATTTACAGACTTTCCAGATTAAAAAAGAAAGACAAATATTCCTAGTCACCCTGAAAAGTGGTTAAAAACAGATTAAAGGTTTGCAATTTTCTATTTTTGCAGAATAAGATCTGAATAAATTTTACCTGAAATATATGCTACAAAATTATATACAAAAATTGATCAAGACATTTATGTCTGCTTAAATCTGATTGTTTGGATGGCCTCAAGAAATGTGTCATGAACTGTAACTGCAAGAAGCTGAGGCCAGGGTTGTATCTCAGGCTTCGAAACTATATAGTCAGTTCTGTTTACTCGAGACAGTTGTAAAAGCTGCAGAGAAAAGACATTGCTGCAGTGAGATACAAGTTTAAGACACACAGTCTAAGACATGCATGGGACAGTGACAAGTGTCATTACTCCAGCTCCCTCAGCAATACCGTTCTCACTGCAGAGACACAGCGCATAAGGAAACTGCTCGTGCTGTTGTAAGCATGCCCACGGTGGCAGTCAGTCCTCACGGGGTGGCCTGCTGTGCTGCCCCTTCTGCAGTCTGCTGTTACTCCCTGCTGTGCTGCCCCTTCTGCAGTCTGCTGTTACTCCCTGCTGTGGAATGAAGTGCTGGCATCACACCAGTCTCCTCCATACACCTCGGAAGAAGGGGAGCACAGTGCACATGCGCCAAAGGAACGGTGGCTTCTACAGCCAGCTGCCTTTGGAATCACATTCTTTGGGCACTCATGGAGGCCACCAACAGTTATACCCCAGTGTTCATCCTGAGGCAGACTCAAACCCAGTTAGAATACAGAAACTGGCCAGAGCACTTCAATGTGTCTGCTATGCCCTACATTTCTCCATGTTTTCTAGTGTTATAAGGGCAAGAAGTTATATTTAGGTGGTTACAGTGAGATAGGCAGAGAAATTTGTACAGAATTAGTGTAGTTAGGCACAGTAATTCTCTGATAACTTGAATCCCACAAGAGGTTCATCAGGCTTTCTTGCTGGAATTCATCCCTTTCCTGGCTGCTATATAGTCCTCCCAACATTTGCACAAAATATACCTTGCATGCTCTGTGAAAAATAGCTACCAGGAACTGAACTGTGATTTTTTAGCTTTTTTCAAAGCTCTTCCTCAGTCTGTTTGTCTGGTTTGGGTAAATTAAAAGAAATGAGAAGTTATGACCCATGACGTCTTCCACCGCCGAGGTGTAGTAAGGAAGTAGAAGGTGAGAGAGGGATGTGGCGATGTGGAGCTGAGAAGAGTTTTCGGTACGGCTAAAAAAAAAGCTGCTTATGCAGAATTAATCTGTTCTAACAATGCTATGGTAATTATGATACCATCCTTTCACATATCTTCCTCACAAGCCACAGTGAAAGAAGGAGAGGAGAAGGGAAAGGAAGAATTTGACCCTGCATTCTTATTTGTTGAGCTCAGGGAATACTCTGAAAGCTACTTGGAGCAGAAGACTAGGACTCTAAATGTATTCATTTCAGTGGGTTCAAGATGGAGCCCACCACATTTACGCAGTTTAATTGCATACTAATAATTTTTCCTTCCTTAAGAACATTTCAGGGTCAAGCCATGAGGCAAACCTTGTTGGATTACAACCGTTCAGCCCTTATTTTATTACTGTCTCTGCATTTACCAAGCTTGGGAATGGCAATCAGTTCAGTAATGCTGTCCAGTTTACAACGATGGAATCAGGTTAGGCGTGACATTTTCTATGCTGCAGTTCTTTTTATATGTATTTTCCCTGTATGGCTGAACAACAGTGTTCCCCTTCTCTCCAAAGACAACGTAACCTAACACCATCTCCTTGTCTTCTGCCGGTGTAACGCCGATTCACATTCCTGTTGTGCCGGGTAGGCTGGGTTTGAAGTTTGATGTCGGAAGTGTAGAATTAGTAATGTCCTCATTTGAAATGAAAGGCTTATATGGCTACTATAAATCTTTTAATAGCATCACAGATAAAGGGAGGAAAAATTAGATAGATATCAGTCTTTGCAGATCAAAGCGATAATTCAGATCCCTGTGAAAATAACTGAAACTTTAGCAGCATCAAAAGCAGCTGGACAAAAGATTGGCAAATGAACTGGAAACTGTATTAAACAAATACAAATTTTAAACATTTTTAATCGTTTATTTTAGGAAGGGAAGCGCTAACCACTAATTTAATATTCTGATTTGTTAGGTCTTGTTCCTCCTGACAGCTGGGGAGGACTACAAAATACAACTGGTTTAATTAATTAATTATGAGCAGTTTTGTCTTGTGCCTTCTGCATATCTTTTGAAGCTGCAAGTTGTTCAAAATGAAAAATTGTATCATATGGAAGTGGATATTCAACATTCACTAAAGAGAGCCCAAGAGCTCTGGGGGTTTGGGAAACTGGCTTTTGTGCAAAACTGCAGCTCCTTTGCTAGGTCAGAGCAATCCACAGGCTCATGTACTTTATAAGGGCTGTCAGTGCCGGGGGACTAGCATGGCCTGTGTCCAAAATGCCAGGCTCCTTTATCCTGACAGCAAAAGGAGCAGATAAGTATCGACAGATCCCATATGATGACTACAATTTTTCAAGACCTCACCTTCAGTGAAATATGCTTTTCAGAGCTGATAAAACAGGGGTTCTGGGAAAAAAATATACTGTTTATTATGCCCGGAAATTACAACACCATGAGAAATCTGGTCCATCACTGAACTGGTTCAGGTTGGCTGGTGGCTGGAGGTTGTCCTGCCCAACAGCTATGATCATCCACCAGTTGTCTCATTTTGTCACTGACATTCCGTATTCATGGCACTTTCTTCAGAAGTGCTGGAGAGATGCTGCCTACAGGAGTGTCTTCTAATCATTTTACAGAATTTCCTCAGATTTTATGCTCAGCTAGTTGCAACATTGTTTCCTTTCCCTCCAACCCTGATTTTGGAAAATTGCTGAATCAGTTCCTCACCATATTTGTCTAAGGATTCTGTCTCTAGCCTTTATTAAAAGTGCCAGTTAATTGGCTTTCATTTGCAGATGCTGCTTTTTTAGAACAAGATTTTCCTTGAATACTGAAAAGAAAACTGATCATTTGATAGAGATTCATTTACCTCTGTGCAGTAATAATGAATATTTCCTTCTATTTCTGCTGTCTCACTGACAGTTTTTTCACTATTTTATGGATTCCAAGACATGTTTCAATAGAGAAAGTAGTTGTTTTCTTTTGGCTGATACAGCCAGCACTTTAGCCCTTCCTGAGGTACTTTAATTCGTTGTTCTATTAAATCAGTTGTTCACAGATAATTATCTATTTTCACCATAAGTATAGTATTTGTTACCTTTTATTAAACTCTTATGAACATTTTAAAAAAATATCTCCTGATGAGCTAGGAGGTGGGGAACAGTAAGGTAACAGCCTTTATAAGACAGCTCTGAAACTTGCTCAGTGACTCATGTGCAGGTTGTGCCTCTGCTGAAAGGACAGAGAGATATGACAGAGTGCCTAAAAGGAAAAAAAGCTAACAGATAAATAAGGGACTTCTGATATTGATACTGTTGGGGAGTGTGTATATGGATTTCACACTATTGTGTTTGTTTTACTTCATTTTGATGAAAAAAGTGTTTCAAGGATACTCATGTTCATAGCAACCAAAGACACATTTTTATTCTCTCAACATATTTCTTTTATCAGTTTGTCTGCCACTGAAATGTTTGACCCTTGCTATGAACATTGGGTCTGCTTCTCTGACTATCTTGGTCTGTGATTAGCATTTTAATTGTGTGTGAATGTTAATCTTTGGTGCATGTGTATCTTTTAAGTACCAGAAGTTGTCCAGAATGTTCATTGTGTTGCAACAAGTTGGCAATCGATCCTAGTGCAGTGGGACCCTCCTGCTTCATCCAACGGTATAATCACTCACTACATCCTAGCAGTTGAAGGAAATTCTACAAATTTTTCATCTTACGATACACTGCATACTTTTAGAAATCTGCTTTCCAATATTACTTACCAGTTTAAAATAAAAGCTGCAACATCTGCTGGTGATGGTGAAGAACAGATATGCAATGCCAGTACACTTCCAGAAAAAGGTAAGAAACTTTTCAAGTTTTATTTTTATTTATTTTACTATTAATTCTTTTGTTTGACTTAAATGATGACTATGAAACAAGCAGGCCTGAGATACTTGCTTCAATTCAAGCAACTAAATCCTTCTGTTGTTTATATTTCTTGCTAATAGTAGATGTGGAAAAACAAGGCTTCCTCTTTCTTCCATTTTAGGATACACTTGGTGATGTGAACTAATGGCTATTTAAAAAAGCAAAGAGAAAGTACCTTTTTTTGTGGTGTTTGGTTATTTTATTAATTTTTGATCACTTGTTAATTTTTGTCTTAAAATCTCTGCTCTTTTTTCCTGATACTTTTAAGGATATTTGATACTGCAAGTCTGAAAAAAATTTGGGGAGCAAAATTTTTGTTGTTTTGTTTCTACTAGTGGCCAATGCTATGACTTCATTGACTGACATTTAAGCTTTCAGAATTTTTGTAATTGAGAAGAATTTAACTTCTTCAAGCAGACTTTGTCATACCCCTTGATGAATAGGATTTTTTAATAAGAAAGGCAATTGTGAGCTAAAGCCGAAGAAGAATGTTGGCAGGTTTTTTGGCACTGGAGTAGAAAATTGTCATCTAAAGTCTGTCTTCCTTTCCCTCTCCGTGCACACTTCACACTTCACCTAATTCTGGCTGTGCTTTCATTTGGCACCTGTGACTTGGAGATAAAATCTGGTGCAAAATATGACATTGATTCTGTGTAAATAGCTATGTGACTGGCTTCTAAACTGGAAGTGAAGAGGAATCTAACTCCCAATCCAGGAAGCAATTGCCTGTTTCAGTTCTCTTCCCCAGTTAGGGATGATTTCTACTCTTGGAATTATTTATCTTGAGTTTTTTTTCTTCTTCAGTAACAGTTTAATATAAAAAGCAAAATTAATGTTCAGTGAGTGGGATCCAGAAACAGACTTTGACTTCCTACTGAATTACAGGAGCAATTACCGTGTTTAGGTCTTTTTGTTTGTTTGTTTCCTCTTCAGTGACATCAGTTCATGCAGTGGAGTTGTTAAGGTCTAATTCAGAACAGCTGGATCATTGGGAAACACAGGAGTGGGATGGGGGAGTGTGACTGTATCCTCCGATGCTTAGAAGCCAAACATAGCTTTTGTAATAATTTCATTACTAAGTTATCAAATAAGAGATGAGTTGCAGTACCCAGTCTCATATATATTTCCTTTGTCCAATTCCGTCAAACAATAGGAACAAGAGTCTGTGGCAGCAACAGTGGAGGGAGGCAGCTCTACTATGCAAACTTGCATCAGACATCTAAACTTGGAGTTTAGATGCTTAGGCTTCCTGTTGGTAGCTTCCTGAGCAGCATGGACCTCTTTAGGTTCAGCGTTTGGATCTCTCTTATTCACAAAGCCTTAATGTCCTATTCTGGGTTTTGATTTCTACACTTCTTGAATTTAGATTTGCAGATGTGCATGTCTGGGTGAATCTAGACCACGACTGTGTTGTCAGCTGAACTACTGCTGCTTTGGTTCCAAATCAAATGGCTGAGCTCCAAATGAGGACAAGCAGAGGAGCCCCTTGCTGGTGTAATGTGGCCATTGTGAAAACAGCTTGGGTTGTACTTTGATGAGTACCTCTCCTCACAGTGTGGTCCATCCCACTAAAGCCTGGTCATATCTCTTATTGAAACAATGAAGTGTCACAGTCACACCTATTTCTGGTAAAAATGTTCTCTCCATTGGCTTCCTCATCAACTACAGCTCCCCTACAAATTCTACCATTTTCTGAACTCTGCTGGTCCCCTTCTGTCCAGCTCTTTGGTGATTTAAGATTTCTGCTTGGGTCATCTGCTCTTTTGTTACCTCAGAAACTCCTGTCCATCAGCATGGTTCACAGTCTCCTTTTGCAAGAAGCATTGTTTAAATATTAGAGATGGGCATACACATATCTTACAGTGTTGCCTGGAATTACTGTAGCCAGCTTAACTGCTGTGCTGACATGGATGTGTGTGATGGTGCACTTAAGTACACTTCTCAACTACAATTGCAGCTCTCCACCTTTTCTTTTAAGAAAAGAGAATGGCTGTTCAGCCTGACTCAAACCCTGAGCAAAACTGAAACTGGGAATGGGTATGCATACAGGCAGGCCAGTGCACAGTTAAAACTGGACTTGTCCAAAACCTGAAGGTTTTGGAGATAGTCTTATATAGCAGGCATGTTATCCTCCAGTACAGAGGAGAACAGGAGGCTTCCCAGGTGCCTTACTTCTTGGAAGATGGGGGAAAGGCTTCTAATAGTGTTAAAAATGCCTGGCACCTGGCAAAGTTAATTGTTGGGATTTTTGAGAAATTTGGGGTTGGCTATTAATTAGTGCTTGTTGAGAACCTGGAGAAGCTGCGGTTGTGGTAAGCATGGGCTTGAGAGACAGGCTGCTAGTCTGTTGTGGTCTATGTTTCACAGAGTTGTACTAGCAGGAGAAAAAAACCCAAGACTTTGTATTGTAACAACATGTGATTTATGTGCCTTATCACTGTGAGTTTTCCTAAGAAAGGATTTATACTACAAAACATGGGGTTTTTTTGTGACATACACAGTGGAGAATTTTGCTTGCTGTTCTAGCATTGGCTTACATGTTGTTGCTTAGTCATATTTGCAACAAACTAGTTATTATTAGGACATTTCCTTAACTGTGTGTTTGCGTGAATTGTTTTGTGGTGACTGGGTACTAGGAATTAGAGATTCATGGATGGGAATGGAAACAGTTTTATAGCTGTTGTCAGCTTCTTATTTATGGTGGTCTAAGATTAGTCACAGAGTATGTAGCCAGCACTGAGTCACTGACAATGCATTTATTTCTGACATAAAGTGAAATTGAATTTGGCTCAGTGTCTCACTGCATAGTGTTTGACCTTTACATTCTTACCAAGATTATTTGCCTTTTTTTTTTTAAAAAAAAAAATTTGTTCATATCTGGGTACAATGAAACATGAATCATGTATATGAAATTTATGAGGAGATTAGTAGTGTTTTGTATCTAATATAGCTCCATTGTCATGGTAAACTACCTCTGCCAAGCTGCAGTATGTTATAAAAACGGTCAGCTTTGTAGTGGCAATATTACTTTGTGATTAAATGTATCATAAAGATATGAAATATAATATAGTAAGCACACATGCATAAATGTGTTGGGATTTTATGACTGTATAGCTAGCTAGCCTTGGATTATTTTCAAGAAAATGCACACATAAAAATGAAATTTCATTAATGCTGAGTGAGTTTTAAGGAAGGAGGAAAAGCCATAAAATAGTAGGAAAGTTCTCCAAAAGGCACACTGAAGCTGTGAAGATTGAGTTAACTCACAAGCCTGGGACGAATGTAATAGTCATTCAGTTAAGAACAAAAATAAAACAATTAAAAAGCCACTTGCAGGGTTCAAAGAATGAATAATCCCCCCAAAAAAAAACCAAACTAAACCAAAACAACAAAAACAAACAAACAAACCTCAACAAAAACCACAACACCCTGCTGCTGCTTTCAATGTTTTTAATTTAGATTTTTGTTGATGGACTTATTATTCTCTGAAAATACTACTCATATTGATTATAGTATTAAGACATGCAGAGTAATTTTTCCCTCCTTACTGCTACTCCTTCTTAATATTATAACTGAACACAGAGTCTTGGAATAGGTTGAGGCTGCCATTGTACTGTGGTGACAGTCCTTACCATTTGTTTTCTACTACATAGAGAATAATTCATAACTTCTATTTAAAAGAAATATGGCAAGAAATTTGTTGAAGCAATATTTTTTAATTTAACCCCTGCTTAATTTTGCTGGCCAATACTAACTTGTATCTATACACAGAAATATGCCTTGTGCGTGAAGGGGAGCAGTGCCTAAAAGGTTTGGTAGTGGGAAAGCTTCTTTTGGTCTTTTTGTCTTTTGGTGTGGAGGTGGCTAATGAACATCAACTGTTGTTATTTGTGCACAGAATGTCTTTACTCCTTGCACAGGGGGACCTGTAGGGATTCAAGGTTTGCATCTCCTGGATGGAGGTGCCTATTGAGCAATGTGGTCTTTTTTCATTTAGGCTTACAAGGAGCACAAAACATAACAAGGGCTTAAGGCTTTTCTTGGGTTGTGGCAGCTCATTGCAGTGCTGTCTTGGAGTTACACAAATTTCCTCATTTAACTTGTGAAGAGAACTACAGACGACCACAATGCACTGAAAGCAATATTTAAGACCAAACCCTAAGATGGTCCTTATGGTCCTGAGCATGACGTGCAGCGCAGTGTGTCAGTGTGGTTACCCAGAGGAACCAACCTACTGCAGAGCCACAACATTGGAAATGGAAGAGCTTCAGTGTTCCCTGTCACTGCTACAAATAGGAGCAATGTTTTTCACATATTCAGTCAGGTCTGCAAGTTCACATCTCCAAACCATATTAAAGTAAAAGCAACCCAAAATTGCAGTGTGTATCATGACTAAGAATCTTTGAAACAAACCTTTCCAAGATGACTGGAGCTGTGCTGTTTTGTTTTGTTTTGTTTTGTTTTTTCCCCTCAGACTTCAATTTTATTTATGCAATGTTGAATTATTTTTTTTAGATTTTCTGATTAGTTGTTGTGTGGAAACGTAAGCTAAAGGGTTTAATGTTGGTGGCAAATCTTCACTAGACAAATGCAGTGATCACTCGGTTGCTGCCAGTGAAATTGTATTGATGTTACTTTTATAAGCTAGTAGATAAAAATAGAAGAATCGTATAGTGTAGGATGAAGGAATATTTTTTTTGTAGGGACTAGGTCAACTGTATGTTCATGTATAAGAAATGGTGGTGACATACGTACAAAGCTATAACTGAAAGTATTTACAGGTCAAATACATTGTTTACTGAAAAGTAGACTGAATTCCAGTTTGTTGGAAAGCTGAGTATTCTTATTTGATTTAATACCTGAGTACTGACAGTTTTTCGCTATTTTTCTAAGTTTAGCTTAAAGGTTTTCATTCCTCTCTAGATTTGTGGGATTTGATTTTTCAGTGTTTAAATCCCACAGCTGGAGACTGTTTTCTCATATGCTAAGGACTAAGAAACATGGTCCACAGAGGCTTTTTTAAGGCATGTTCTCAACTGTGCAATTTTCTTTACAGCATATCTGATAGTATCAGTCCCAAGTCATGGTAAAAAGATAGTCTACTGGGTTTTTTTTATATTTTTATGTTAGTAAACCATTTAGGACCTATTTGTGATGTCCTTATTCATCATGAGCAAGACTTTATATCATGATGAGTGTCCCTGAAGTTAGTAGTCTATACTAGAGTAGTATTTAATATGATCATGGTTATCAGTTTAACTCGGGGAACTCCTTTGGGTAACTAAGCTTTCAAAAATTAATATGGATAATCAATACAGAATGTTACTTTTCAGATATCCCCATTTTCTGAAGACTTTTATTGCGTGCCCACTGCTATCTGTTCTACTTTGTTCTTCACTTTCCTCCTATGGATGCTCTTAATACCACCCAACAGACTTCTAGGCTGCCGCTGTCCTTTTAATCCAAACTCCAGCTACAAGCAGCTGTTCTGTAGGCAGAGTTTTTTTTATTAACTTCGTTAGGAACTATGCCATATCAAATTACTGTCTTCTGTTCCCGGCCCGCGCAGCTGTAGTCGTTGCTTTCCACAGAAGACTTTACAGAAAGCTGTAACTTCTCTCTTTTGTCAGTAGATTTTTTGTGTGCGTGTCCTTTGCTGCCCTTAGGTTATCTTTGCATTACGATTAAGACTTTTTTTACTGAGGATTTCTGTTGGTTTGAACCAGTTCCACTGGCCCAGTTCAACTTGATCTGAGTCTTTGCTCAGTCCTTGTGCTTTTTTTTTACCAGGAATTTCCTTTTGTTTAGGTTCTCGAATAAAAACTTAATCTCTGAGCAGTCCACCAGCTTCGGAAGGGCTGATTAACATTTTAGCCAGAACAGTGTAGGGATCTGGGGCCAAGATCTATGAAAGTAACTTCTGTTTAGGTGCTTAGCTTCCTGTCAACTTCAGTGGGAGTTGAGGCACGTAAATAGGCTTTAGGAGCTTAAAATCCCACGTGGATCTGGCTGCAGGCAATTTTGTTGGAGTTTGGCCATCGTGTGAACAATGGTGGATGAACCTGAAAATACCTCATTCCTCCTCCAGTCCAGAAACTTAATTCAGCAGCATTTCATGGCCAGACTCTCTGCCATCTCCCTGGCTGGCTTTCAGAAGTTGAATTAAAAGCTAGTAACTGCAAAACAATAGAGCACATTGCACACACCAAAAAAAAAAAAAAAAAAAAAGACTGAAAAACTTCCACTCACAGAGCTAGATGAATTGTAGAAAATGTACATAATTCAGTAGGGCAAGGCTGTCAGTTATGTGCTTTTGGGACTTAAGGGGTTCTGCTCATGATTCCTGGGAATCTTAAATATTAGCATTAGAATGCCAGCTAGCTAATCAGAGCACAGTCCTGGACAATTAGTGTCCTACACCACCACCAACACAGCCTTTTTCCTGACCTTTCTTTAAGTGCACCTTTCTGACAGCCAGGAATAATAATAAAGTTCCTGTTAGACCCATAACAAAGCAGCAGTGTGTAAGAGGAGTTATATAATTCTTTGCTAGAGTTCCAATTTAATCCAAAAGAATAATTTACAAAGATGCAATTTTTGGCTTTTATTGTTTTTAGAGTGAACAGTGATCACTTCATTGTAGTTGAGTCATGTTTGGAAAATTTAAACAAGCTGCATGATTACTCTAGGAAACATGGAATGGTTTGTTCAAATCAGTACCATCTGTGAACAGAAAAAGTGGAGGGAATTTTAGTCATTCTTGAGGAATGGAAATCTGATTCTCCATGCTAGAGTAATTGTAATCCCCTTTGTATCTGTAACCCAATAGTGGAGTTGTCTTGAAATTGTCTCATTGAACACAGTCATCAAGTGCAAGAGACACTGTGCCACTGGGTGTCACTGCTCCTCACTACGTCCCTAAGAGCAAACCTGTTTGATTTGCTCCAGATTTAGATCATATCTTTTCATTTGTTCCAATGAGAGATTACCTTTATATTCGATTTGTCTATGAAAGTAATGAGCCAAAATGGACTAGATTTTAAGCGGACTAGCGTTTAAGGCTCTGATTCCATTTTAAAGGTCTGTCTAAGCACTGGTGGGGAAAATTTTCCTATGTCTTTTGCTGACTGACCCTTTCTTTTGTAGGTTAGAATTATTTTGTTTATATGAGTCTTAGTAAACTGGAAAAACAATAACATGGAATAGTGATAAAAGCTTTTGTATGAAAGAAGTATTTCTCTAATCTGTCTGTTATCATGGCACCTGCAAGTTTGTCTTTCAAAATAGTACTTTTCATGTAGTCTTACTCACTGGCTTAATCACAGATACTATCTTCAGCCCTCTGAGGGTAATGTGTATGGGCTCCCTCTGTAGCTAGTGGGAGAAGGGACTGATGGGAAGTGAAACATCAATTTTCTGACCTCCATTCTTTCCCCCAGTCTCTGGGAGTTTGTCTGTTTCCACCAAAATACAAGGAGAGCTTATGGAAGCTGGCTTTATTAGACTTTTGTTCGATGTAAGAGCCCACAAATCGGAGCCAACGCTATTTTTCCTGATATAATTTCTAGTTCTGTGAAACTGCCAAGCATCTTTTCCATCTTTACTGTGACTTTACTGCTACCTCTCAACTCTTTGTGACAGCATAATTCCTTGAGAGGGAAAGCCCACCATGCTGGTTATAACGTTGGGACTGCTCTTCCTCTGTGTGACTAGCCTCTTTAACTTGCCTTGTGCTAGGTGTAGAGAGTGCACTTGTGCCAACCAAGGTTCTACCAGCCCTGCACATGTGAGCAAGTGAAGGTATATATATATCCACCATATAATTTGTATGGTAACCATTGAACATTTATCTGCCTTTGTTTTTCATTAACTAATGGTCAGTCTAAGCCCTTTCTCATAATTTACATAAGTAGCAAATAGAGTTTATAGAGCTATTATGAAAATATTGCAGTGTTGGGGTTTTTTTATGAAAGTGAACAAACTGAGTCTTCAAATCTTCAAAATCTTCAGTCTTCAAAACTGTGATCAAGCAAGAATGTTACTACTGTGAGCGGAAGGACAGGGGAAGCGCTCAAGGTTCCTGTGCCTGGCCCCTCTCCTTCAGGCTCCACCTGCTTTGGGTTTATTTAAAGGAATTTGTATTTCTCAATCTTTTCACTGTCACAGCTTGGTTTGGCTCAGAATTTACATTTCTTGTTAAATATTCTCGTTTAGTGGAAAGCTTCAGCTTGTTATATCATGATGATTTTTATAAACAGATTGTTGCAGACAAAAGTAGACCTCAGGTATTCCCACAAGGCTGAAAAAAAAAAAAGGAAGGTTTTCTCTTTCTTCCCCAGTAACGTTGGTCTGGGATCCTTTTACTCTTTATGTAAGCCTTGGGGCTTCTTCAGTTTCAGTTTGAGGATGTTTCATGTGTTTTTCTTTTACCAGTGATATTTCTTCCCCAGAAGACTCTGAAGTGCTGTTTAAAGCCATGTGCAAAAAATGATTTCTGAGCTGATTTCTCTGCACAGTTCTTGCCACAGAGAGTATTAGTATTATCTTACAGAGTCTTAGAGATAATATTAGCTTACTGTATGACTATGTGATATAGCACAAAACCATATGTTGCATCCAGTCTATGAGAGCTGAGAGTACACTGTTGGCTTAAAATAGATATGGATAAATGCGTGTTCATGTGTGTATGTGTATTTATGTACATATATGCGTATGCACTACTTCTGTCTCCGTGCACATGAATATAACTTGTGTATACCCATGTATATGTGTGTATATAATTTTTTTTTCCTGAACAGCTTGTAAGACACTTATATAGGCATTTGTATTGCATTTATTGATAGTTTCCATTCACAAGGTGAAACAGGACACTTATGAAACCTTGAGTTGTTGCTTGAGGATTTCATATATTACCGAGAGAAAGGGAGACTGATGAGTGTTTCTGAGTGAGAGGTGAAGAATCCGAGGTAGCAACAGCAGTGAAAAATACTATGGGTAGACCAAAAATAACTTTGCTTGATATTCCCTCCCTCACTTGAGATATAGCCCCAAGTGTAGCAACAACAATGTCACACCTCTCAAAGCTGTTTCTGCATGCCACGCCTAAAAGTATTTTTCTTTATTTCAAAAGCTATAGTAAATGTACACCACCTACACATGTACAGTATGATTTGTGCTGATAGAATTACTTCTTATTAATCATATGATATTGAATCTTAGTCTTTAGGCATGCTTCTTAAAATATTTTTTCAACACTGGATAAAAGGGTTATAGATGAAATAGCTTTTTATTCAAATGAAGATATCTTACAAGTGTTTTAATTTGTAGTTCCCAGTGCTCCCAGGGATATTGTGTTTTCCAATGTGCAGTCGACAAGTGTGACATTGAATTGGAGATCACCAAAATCTATCCTTGGCTACTTTCAAAACTACAAGATTACTACACAGCTACAGTCCATCCACTGCAGTGACTGGGAAACTAAGGAATGTATTGAATATGAGATGCATCAATATTTATATAAAAATGTGATGGATGACCGAATAGAAGAGACAGTGTATGGACTGAAAAAATACAGATGGTACAGATTTGCAGTTGCTGCCAGTACAAACGTTGGTTATGGCCGTTCTTCACCTTGGGTTTCTACACAAACACTTCCTGGCTGTAAGTAAGGATGTCTGCCATGTGTCATAATGCTGTAACAATGTGATATTCACCTAAATAAGTAAGAACACTTGATAGAAGTTCTTTCTTCTCAGTCCTACAATACTGGTGAAGTTGATAAGGATTTATTGCAACTCTCCACACATGAAACATCATGATATAAATCACGTGGTAGGTATGCATAGTTGACACTGCTTCAGATTTTAATGCCTTTTTTGTGCTCTACTATGTTTACTGCTTACCCAAAAGCAATTTCATTCCTCAGCCCTACTCCACATCTAGAATTGGTAAGTCTGAATTTGGCTATTTTGGATTGATATGCCATTCTCAGTACATCTTCACATGTGGGGTGTGTCAATGAAAACTAGTCCTTTTCAAAATTATTTGAATAGAAGTCTGTTCACTAACTTCATACTACTTTCTGAAATTCTAATGTATGTTCCTAGCAGTAGAATTTAAGCAATAGTTTCAGAAGAATCAAGGTTTCCTTCCAATACCATATCCATCTAAGGAGATTACAAGTCAGAGTAGTCAACAGGACTGCCATGACACATATTAGAACTGTCATGCCTCAGCTGAGTATCTCAGTTTCCAAGTGAGAGAAGAGTTGGTTGTCACAGATAAGTCATCACTAGATATTTGAGAGAAGGGGATGTGAAACTTAAATTATTTAGGCAGTTGTCATGGGAACAGATTACCTTCCCTCCCAGTTTGCAGCCAGCCTAGATGAGAATACATCAGAAGTCCAGCCTCTGGCCCATATAGAACAGCTAAGAAACACCATGAGTGCCCTGACTAACTCACAGCTCCTTCACTCCTTTCCCCTTCTGAAATAATAGTAGTAGAGATACCAGGTTCCTAAACAGGTGTATACCAAGGGCTATCCAATAGTCCACATACTTATTTTGTTCCACTCATGTTTTTACATTCACATGATGTGAATACAGGGGGCTTTTATATAATGCTCCTCAGTGTATCTGTGCACTCTTTGTACAGTAATCCATCAATCTATCCTTAAATACCTTACAAATTTTCTAGTAGGTAAGGAAATCTTGTCATGTCTGTTTGCAGATGAGAAATTGCAATAGAGAAATTCTAAACCCCAAAGGGCAAAGAGATTTGGATACTGATAGTGAACATCACAACAGGCAGTTTTTCACATGAAGCACAGAAGCAGTCTTTGGATTGAGAAGTTCTGGAATCAGCTTCAGAGCCATTCTCATGTGCACTTAATTTCTTTGTCCAGTGTTTCTTATGGGGATGCTCTGCCTCTAAATTAATGCAATATTTTAAATGAAAGTGAAAAAAAAAAAAAAACAAACCACCAAAACATATAACCCCAGATGGAGCAGAAAATAGCTAACAGAAGTTGTGCAACTCTAGAGCCAGCAGCTCTTGGGAGATTTCTTACTATTAGATGGATAGATCTCAGCTGCTGACATATGCAAATACTTCTCTTCAAAAAATTGTTGCTGAGCTTAGGAAAGTTAGGGATTTAAACTGGACAGAGAGGCAGATAATGATAACACATATAATAACATAAAGTTAGGATCCTCTTTATGGTTTCTTCTCTGGATGGTGATAATTTGGTTTAAGAGAGAACTAGTTTCCTGTCAGTCCCACTTGAGGACATGGTAGTTAAAAGTATAAAAATCTCATTAGACTGCACAAACCCTTTCCATGCCAAAACAGTGTTGGTCTCAGCATTAGGTCTTTTGTCTGCTCTATTAGCTAGTTTAACAAATGGTGTTGGGATAGAAGGTAAAGAAGTTCCACCAGTCCTTCCAACCTGAGCGTCTGGGGCTGCTGGCCTGTGTCTGTGGTGAGGGAAGAGGGCAGCAACCAATATTTCCTGTGAGCTGAATCAGTGACATGTCAAGGGATGAGCAAAACACACCCCTGTGGAGTCCAGGAAGCATGGGCACTATTCCAGATACCATGGCTGGGTGTTCTTTTTCATGGCTGGGTATTGTTCTTTTGCCTAGGATAATGGCAATCAGCTGAGGAGTTAAAAAAGAGGAAGGTGACATGTCACAGCTGGGTAGCCAGCTGTGTGCTTCAGCAGTGCTGGAAGCCTCCCTGAGCAGCGGCTAATGTTTTCCAAGGGCAGGTCTCTAGCTATCTCACCTCGTACTTCTCAAAGACTAGTCTTAGAAATATTTTTAATCAGACTGAAAAACCTTAGTTCTCTTCTTTCTTTAGCAGAGGGTACTGCCTGTAGTCGTCAGGAGAAATTTAGGTTGCACAGAACAGATCGGGCACTCTGGGGAGCCTTGCAGAGTGTGTCCAGAGAACAGGTGTCCATCTCCCTCTCCTTTCACTCGTGGACAGGGCCAGGCATCCTCTGGATTAGCCTGCTGGTACACAGCCAATACACAGGGTCTGTTAGGGCTTAAGGGTGCTTAGCTGCTATGTAAAATGCCCTGAGTACTTAGCCCATAAAATCAATGGGAGTTGTGTTTGCAGATTTGAGGGCAGAAGTTAGCCAGTGTTTCTGATTTTCAAGAAATGCCTCTATGAGACATCGCTTCTGCCAAAGGGAAAGTTACCTTGGTTGTGAAATGATAGTCAAATGACTTTTCTTTGGAAGTAATTGGGTTCTCAGAAATTTATGTTTCTCTAAATCCTACAGAAAATATTACAGTCATTATATTCAGGAAGTTCCAGCATTTAAGCTGAAAACTGTTAGACTAATTTCCCAGAATACACAGATGAAAATTCAACGACAGCAAAAAATTGCATAACAGAAACCCTAAATATTCTTTACATGTGCAGAGGATTTGACTGTTGTGCTAAATCAGAAATACCTAATAATTGTGAATATCCAGTGACTAACGTATATTAGCTTTTTGTTTCAGTTGTTCATTATGAAGGTAAATTTAAGGCTACAGGAATTTTTTTTTTAATTAATCTGCAAGTTTCAAACAAAAAAAAAAATAGTGGCTGTGTTCTGTACTGAAAGTGATTATAGCATTTCTCCGAGGAAAATGTTGTAGGTTGTTCAGTACAGTCCAGTTCTCACAACACACAGATAAACTATTCAGCCTTCTGTCTTACAAGTTATCCTTACAGGAATTGTCCTACTGTCTCATGAAGTAGTTTGATGGCGCTGTTATTACTTAGCTGAAGTATTGCCCAAGAGCCAAATTTACTCTGCAAGATGGAGTGTTTTCAACATAACCTAGATTGATATAGTTATGAGTACAGAAGATCAGTGTTGCGTCACAGTGAGGGAAAGGGCAAGAAATGTTTTCCATAGCTGGGGAAACTTTGTTCCTCCACACCTGTGCTTACCCCAGGTTTCACTTTTACATTTATAAGAATAAGATTGGCCAAACTTGTGCTTTCTAAGAGCAAAATAGTTTTGGAAGGCCAATGTTAGGTGGAAAATGAATGGCAGTGAGATCACTGACCTTATTTTGCATCTTGTACTGTTACACAGTGCAGTGCTTTTGGTAAAGTGCCAAGCCTCCTAATGCCAGGATATACTGAGATACAAAGGAAAATCCCAGATGTTCAAATATCCCATGAAGGCTAGGACATAGATGCATGGGGCAGAGGGTTATGTTTCTCTTTTCAGCACCTTTCCCAATCCCTGCAGATACCTAGTTGCTTGCTATACTTCAAGAAATGTTTCTCCATGGTGAAAAGCAATGAGATTTCATGTCTTGTTTTATGCGCTTTCTTCTGGCAAGTTTTGCCTGAGAGAACTTGTTTTTCTTTGTTCCTTTCGTTCTCTCAGAACTAAACACTGGAAAGTCAATATGGCCTAATATAAATATTTAAATACAAGTAAAAGTAACCTGAGTGATCATGACATTAAATAACTTAACCTCAGACTTAATTTTTGTTGGGAAAAAGAAAAAAAAAAAAAGCTGATCTTAACCAAATAAGCAAGCATGAATTTCTGTTAGCATTCAGTCTTATTTTTGAGGATTATGCTGAATGATGGGCTATCCAGACTTATCTTCCAGCTAACACACTTAACTGCTGCCTTAGCATCAGGACACAGATGGATGGGGAAGATGACCCTGACCTCCATAAGACCCACATTCCTGTGCAAGGATAGAAGCATGATAATCAGGAAATGATGGTTATTAGTTACAGAAAATGCATTATTGTGAAAACCAGGAGAAAAGTGCTTATGAGAGGAAGTGATTGGATTATAGGGGAATGAGAGAATAAGACTAGGTCATTTCTACTGAGTAAATTGCTGTGATTTATAAGAGAAAGGGTATAGTGATATCACAGCCTTGTATTGACTAGATTCATTTCACAAACAAACCTAAATCAGAATATGGCAGTTCTGAAGCAACTGAAGCAACTGTGGTTTTTAAAAAGATGGTTTTTGTAGGACATGAGACACATTAGATACATTTAGTTTTCTAATTTTCTTCCTGATTATACAGATTACTTCAGAAAATAGTTCTAAATTTCAGTATCATTCAGACAGTGTCTCATATTGTACTTCTCATGATGAAAGTAAACCAGGTATTAATGCTTAGATACATTTTACATAAGTATCCTAAATACAGCATACTCAGTTAAATTTTCTTGCTAAGATCTAAAAATGTATCAGATATAAACTGCATAGGATAGTTATCCATATAAATAACTGGATAATTTGATTGGATAATTGATAGATTAGATTATGCTTTAAAATTATTTCACACTATCTTTGTCTAATATATAAACCTAACGTGGCTTCTGGAAAAAAAAATACTGAGAGATTAAACACTTCATTAGTACTTCAAAAAAAGTAGTGGAAAATTGTCTTTGGAAACCTGGTTCATTTGGAAACTAAATCTTGAGAATATATATATATATATATATGTATAATTTTAGACAATTTTTTGGAAATGTCATCTGGTAATAAAGATAATACCACTGCCATAGTTACCAAAAGCATTGTTTACGATGAAAGACACACATTAGCTGCAAAATAAGATTAATTTGTGCTAATTCTAGTTTTTAGGGAACGTGCTTGCCCTTGTATTTAGCCTGTTCTAGCTCCCCACTTGACAGCCAGCCTTCTCTCAGCAGTCTCCTCTTTCACCATCCCTCCTGTGCTTTCACAGTTCATTCAGTTAGACTCCTCATTCAGTTGTTCCATACTATTCAGTATTTTTGGGGACTGCTTCCAATGGTTGAATTTGATCCTGCCTACAAAGTCTAGTATATTCCTGCTAATCCCAGGACAGCGATCTGTCTCCTATATCCAGTACCCTAAACTCTTCATCACACCTTATCAACTCCAAAATCCCCCTGGTTTATTTTGCAACCATGGTGCAAAATTTTCACCTTCACAGTGCAAAATTTTGTGATTTCTCTTCATTGATCTTTCACACAAGATTTCAATAGCTACATACCTCCTTCAATGCTATTTTTCCTTTCCTAACCTGTTGTCTTCCTAAAATACTAAGTAGCCTTGTATACACTCTAATTTTCCTCATTAGGCCCTCTTACTTGATGATTAATGGTGGAAAATTATATACTCATGCATTAATCATGTTTGAGAAAAGACTGCATCTTCTGATTAGGGTAGATATGATCACTTTTACACTTTTATATAGCACAGTGTTCATTGATATGTTAATCATAATTGTATTTTTTGTGGTAGATTTAAAACAAAAGGCACCATGAGGCCAAGTTGTGGAAACATGTACAGATCTGTTGTTGCTTCTGTAACAGGCTGTTCACTGACATATATCACAGTTGTCTTTGTTTTGCAGTAGACTCAAAAAGAAAAGGCACCATGATGCCAAGTTCTGGCGTTGTCTACAAATCTGCTGTCACTTCTGTCTGTTCCAAATTTTATTTTCCTGAAATTTGCCATGGTCGTTATGAAAAACTAATACTATTTACTGAGAAGTACTGTGCTGTCATTATTATTTCATTAATTTCTTATTCATGAATAAAGAATAACTAGGTTAATTCACATATCATCTTGACAAAAGGAAATTTTAGGAAAATCCCATTTACTAATATGAACATTCTTGCCCCTTACAACTCCTACCACTTCTTTGTGTGTGTGTTTCCCAGAGTTTATAAACATGTTAAGAATGAGATTAAATGAAACCTAGAAAATATTTTTTTCTGAATACAGTTATTTGTACTAGTACTTTCCAACATTGCTGGAAATTTTTTCTAGCATGCAGAAGACCTTGTGTTTTTACAGCTTTGTGTTCTTTAACTGATTCGTTTAACGTAACTATATTATGCTTGTCTATTTGTCTAAATCGTTGTATTTTGCTTATGTTGTGTAAAATATATATAAATAGGTTGTAATTACAAAACTATATTTTCAATTTAACATGAAGCTGTAGGCAGTTCATACTCTAGAAAATCTGTAGTAATTGCAATGAAAAATGTGCTTCTAAATTACACTGTACACTTTATATAGTAGAAAGAAAAAATGTTATAATTATTTAAGCAATGTATAATGGTATATGTGTGAAAAAGTTTTGTTTTCAAATTGAAAAATAATCTCTACTGGCCACTAAAATTACTGGGTTATTTGTTGCGAATGTCTTTGTCCATGATTCACACACGTATTTTTTTTCTGCAGCTCCAGATGGTCCTCCACAAAATGTGACTGTTTTAGCTACATCTCCTCACAGTATTAATATCACCTGGAGTGAACCTGTCGTCATTACTGGACCCACAAGCTACCTCATAGACATCACTTCAGTAAGGCAATTCTGGTTTAATGTTTGGCCATATAAATACCATGGCAGATGTTCTTATAGAAATTACAGGACAGACATAAACTGGATTGAAAAACAATATGACTGTGTCTATTTCCACATACGCACCACATAAGAATTAATTATACATTTATAAATTTCTTAATGGAAGATAAATTAATTACTTGCTATTAAAAAATGTATGCTGATAAGAGGTCTTGGAGAAAAAAAAAGTGTAGCGGTAAATGTACAGGAAAACAGTAGCTGAGCTTTGCAGAAGTGTACCTCTTCCTAACAATAATGATGCTGTTTGCCAGTAAAAATAAAAATGCTTTTTTTTTCTTCAAAGAAAGGAAAAGTTCATTGTCGTGATTTTACAAACCAGAGTGAAGAGCCTAGCAAAAGGAAGTAACTTGTACAATGTTAGACCACATCAGAGGACAAACTTTAAAGTCGAACGAGATTTCCCACTTTCCACTTGGTGCTCTGTCTATCAGATTAGCTATATTTTGGTAGCACAGCAATAACATTTCTTCCTCCTTGATCTTTATAAACAAAAAAAGGCTGACATAAGAGAAAAGCTCTAGTGGCCTTTCTCTTTTCATCCTCTACTACCCTGACAATACTCCTTAAAACAACCATTAATAAACCTCATTTCCTGGCCTGTGGCAAGATAAGAAACTTTCTAAGTTCAAGCACGTGAGAAGTTTTAAGCAGGATATAGGATCCCTGTTCTTCCAGAAGTTATACAGGCACAGCTATCAGTGAAAATGGGAAGCACTTTACTAGTTTTTACCCAGGAAAACTTGCTGTTGGCAGCTTCAAAAATCCTGAATTACACATATGCTAAAATATTAATGTTGAGTTTTTTGTGCAATCAAAATTTCTAAGGAGATCAGTTAAGAAAAAAACAAACAAACAAAACAAAACATGTATTTTTGAGCTTCTTAGTGAAGTTAGAAGAGAGAGTAATGTGTAGTCTTGTTATTTTCATTCCCTCTAACTTCATTTGACAATGTGTAGAGTACAATCTCTTCAGTTCTGAACATGCCCACCACAGCAGTAGTATGACAGGATAAAGGACATACGATAGCAAAGGGAATACTAACAGGGAGGAAATGGTTCCTTGGCACATTGAGTAGGTGACTGGAAGTGACGTAACAATTTTTATTTCTTCTCTATTAAAGTTAGACAAGGCTTTTTCATTGTGAAGAATTCCTGTCATTTTTGACTAAACAGAATTGCTTCGTAAGAAAAAAAAAACAGCAAAAAGTATTTTTGTGCTTTTGATAAAACTTCCAAATTCAATTTTCATAGCTTGATTTTTTTATGTGTGATATTTAATCAATTTATATTTAAGCAATTTTTCTTCTGTCTGATAGATTCTGAATTATAAACAGGATGCCATCTGGTTTTACACTATGAAAGTGTTATAAATACGTTATCAATATAAGTTATGGTAAAATTCCTAAAGTAAGATGAAGTATGGAATGTTTCACGTAAGCCCATCAACATTTAGAAGGAATTTAAAAATTGGTTTTAAATGTTCAGTTTGAAGGGCTTTAGTTTTATTTTTACCAAATGCTTTTTTTTTTAAATATATTTCAGACATCTAGCATTATGTTTAGGGATTCCTTATAATCAGATGTTGTCTATCTAATTATCAGTAACTACAGATGTCAGTTCTGTAGATAATCATCTTAGTAGACAAATCTATTCCTTCTTAAAGGCCAATAAAGCTGTCACAATCTTTTTCAGTGAAAATTTGAGTATATAGTTTATTGTCCCAGTGGGAAGCTTTTTATGAAGACTCTGAATTCCACAAACTTCCTATATGTATAACTTTCCTCATTTAAATTCTCAGCTGAATATCTTTAAGGATTTATAAAAATAGGCTCACAGAGCAGAATAATTTCAGATTTCTACTCTGTCATGTCCTTATTCTTAAAAGGTACTAATTAGTATTCCTTATTGAATGGACTAGGGTTCTGTTTGAATGACTAGGATGTTCCTTGGAGTTTTACAGATGATCAGAAAAACTAAAAAGGACTCCCTCATTATTATTTCTCTGTCATATCTTAGTTTGTTTTCCTGGCTACTATAATTAGAAGTAGTCTTGAATAAAATATTACTGAAAATGAGTAAGCAAAATAGAACTGAACCATTAAACTTCAGGTAGAATAGAAATATATTTAATAATGTAGTGCTGTAGTTGTATCTTAGCTCTTGTATAAATATTTACATGCCAGATTTTTGATAGTCAGATAGGAAAAAGTGTTTCAGCTCTTGATGGCCATCCCAGGAAATGAATGTCTGTTTAGTCCATCAGAAAGTTTAGTTCAGGTTAATTCTCAGTGGGGATAGATGCATATCTGTCAAATAAAAAGGTATGCTTGAACTACTCTAATGTTTTACCAGCTGCATTTAATACAGATTTCATCCAGTGGGAAAACTACTGTACAGCTACCTAATCCTCTTTTCAAATTACACACTGAAGAAACAATAATGAAAACATCATTAACTGAAGTAGTGGGAATAGACTTAGAAAGAATTTTGTAAATGATACTTGATCAAACACTAGAAAAGCTCCCAATTTTTCCTTTCTCTCTTTTTTTTTTAAGCTAACATTAGAAGAGATTAATTGGATATAAAGCCAAACACTGTAGATTTTTCTACAGAACTACACATTATTTGAGATGTAGGCATGATACGGATCCCAAAATGTAATCCAGTCCATATCCTGCTCTAACACAGAAACAACTGCACTTAAAGTCTTCCTCACAAATGATTCATTATCCCAACCTTAAAAATGTCCAGTGCTGAAAATTGCTTTGTAACCCTCAGTAGATTGTTCTAGTTTTTAACTAAACTTGAAGTCATAGTTTTAGTTACATATTTTGGTATATCACTGCAGTTTTCATAATCTTCAATCCTTTTTTTTTTTTTTTTTTTTTTTGGTGCAAATAAAATTTCTATTTGCATTTCCATGAATGGTTGAAACAATGTATTGTCCTCAGTTTTGTAACATCCTTTTTTATATATTGAAGCTGCTACTTGTTTTGAAGATGTCTTCCACCATCCTCCCTTTTCTAGATAGAACCCTGATTATTTCTGCTTTCCTGCTTTTCTAGTGAGAGAATTACTCCCTTCACACTGTCTTGTGAGTAATGCTTCTGTTATTATATCACAAGAAGAATTTCACTTTCTGCAGTCATATCACCAATATCTATTTTTTCCTGATTTTCTTTCTTTTTTTTTTTGTATTCCAAACAATTTTCTGCTATATAACTGTTTATCTTCTGGATCTTTTCCTGTTTTGATTTGATTCCCATTTCAGGTCCCTACAGCTGTCCTGATGCAATGTCTACCAAGAAGTCCATGTTTCCTTGGTAGAAGACAGCATTAAGCAAACAGCCCATTTCCTTAATTCCATTCTACAGGAAGTGCTAAAAAGACCACACTTGGGTGTGATGGGAACGTGCTCCCCTGCGTAGCTAGAGATTTCTTGTGAACCCTTCTGTGTGATTGGTTAGAAAAGTGGAAAGATAAAAGTCAAATACAATGTTCAAATAATAATAACGTCCTGCTTCTGGTTGTTTCAAGTCCTGTAATAGTTTGTTTTATTATCATTATTTTACAGGTAGATAATGACAATTATAAAGCTCGATTTCTGAAGACAAATGATGAGGGTAAAGTCTTAGAAATTTCTGATTTAAAAGCATTTACGAGGTATTCTGTGGTAATCATTGCCTTTACGGGGGATGTTAATGCAGCACTCTTTGAAGGCAAGGCTAGTTTTCCAGTAACTGTCTCCACTTTTGAAGCAGGTTTGTATATTTCTCTACTTTATATAGATCAAACTTTGCAGTTTTTCTTTCATCTGACAAATAAATGAGAATTTTAAAGGCATGGTGCACTTTATTGCATATTTGTCCTCACAATATTTTTTCTTTAATAAGTATCAAGGTTTACTTTTAGGAATACAGATATCTTAAATTGCTTCATGTAAAATATGTCTGTGTGGAACACAATCATCCAGATTGTTTCTATAGTCATTGAAGAGAGATCCCATCTGTATTAGCAAGTGTGTATAAGATATCTGTCTTAGAAAGGGGTGACTTCCCCATGTGGAGGTACCTGTTTTGCCTAAGAGACTATTGAAAACTCCACAAAACAGCATTGCTCTTGATGCAAAGTTTAAATATATAAAAATTAAGTGGAATGAATTCTACCATATATAAATGGTAGCTGTACTGACTTGAGGACACAGTCTGCGTATTCTCAGTGAAAGGAGGTTGCTGTTAAAGGCCCACATTGTTCTGTGCTTGAGTTGGCTGTTCCACAGGTTCAAAATAATCAAATCAGATTCAAAACAACCTGGAGAATGAGGTTGATACTAAGGCGACAAAAGTTGTTGTTGCTGTTAAGTTATTCAGAGAAATAAAACTGAACTATGTAGCAACCTCGTGACACTGAGAGGCTACGTTAGAGTAAAGTAGATAGCATTTGCTTTGGAAAATATAAATAGATGTACATGGGGAAGAAAAAGTCCTACTTTTACACATGTCGTTCCTGGTTATGCACTGTCTACTATCTTGGCTGGTTTTGAATTTTCACTAAGGATATTTAAAGAAACAAACAAACCAACAAAACGACAAAAATATTGGCAGAAAAGATACTGAAGGTTTGTTTTAGTCAAACTAGTTATCAACTGTGTGTAAATTACAGTTGCCTTATCTCCAGTGAAGTTAGCTGCAGGTCAGCTTTTTTAGCTATATTCTTAAGTTAATTTCAGATTTAGACATACTACACAGTGATTGTATTTATCCTTTTTCTTTCCTTTGATGTATGAAAATCCAGTGTCCCTAATGTTATGATATGAGTGTGTGTAAATATTTAACTCCAATGCCTTTAATACATTAAATTCTAAGAATTCCCTGTCCTTTATATATACCTGGAGGCTGATATGATCTTTTACTGTGGAAAATGAATGAAGATTAAGTTAGGTGGTAGCTGTATCTGTCCTGTGAGCTATCCTTTTTGGTAGCCTTTTCTCTTATGTAAAAATGTTATACATTAGAAGGTGCAGTAACCTTAGAGAGGAATCGTTATTTTTTCCATTTCATCTTGTCTCATCTGACTTGTACAGTCTAGCATAGGGCTGAGTCAGGAACAGTTTACACAGACTCACTCCAGAGAAGCCTGAGTTAGCGTTTGTTGGCTGGTGTAAAAAACCTGGAAGGCAGGACAACTGCATCAAAATCATTGGCTAAGGGAATGTGTTTACCTTCAGTTGCTCGGTTTCACTATTTAGAAGTCATACTTGTCTATTCATGTAGAACAATAAATATTTAACTGCCTGGAAAAAAAGTTACAGACTTCTTTCAGATAGGAGCTTTGGGAAAATTATTTATACCTCTGGTGTCCTGAGAATAAGCTACTGGAATAAATGTTAGACAAAAAACTGTCTTTGGGAAAAATACATGTTTTTTGTGCCTGGGCATCAGCTAGTGGGAAGATTTTCCTAAAGAGTTAACTCCTGTTAGGAGCAGGATGGCTTGTTTATATGTTGGGAGAGAGCTTGCTGTTGACAGAGGGCTTTCAGAAAAGGATATTCAAGACTAACACTTGCTTCTTGCTTGTCAACCCATGCAGGGATTTGTTTACCTCAGATGTATTTCAAGGTATAGTGAAGCCTTCAGGCTTTCTGGATAGAAAATCAGAAGAAACATTTCTGATTAGACACTACCAAAGGCTATCTGATCATTATTTTTAGCATTAAATGTTAACATTAATAGGTGGGATTTCATTAATTTTTCAAATTCTTATTTTCTTTATAAATATTTAACTATGCATCAAGTATTTCAGTTGGCTTTAGTAAAAACAGAAAATACCAGTTAAATAATACTGATATGCAAAAATATAATTTGTAATTTTTCGAGTTTTGCTCTAATAGTAATAGTAGTAAAATGCTTAAATGGATCATTGAAATATTTATTTCAGTGCCTGAAGACCCACCTAACAACATAACATTTCAGAAGATACCAGATGAAGTAACAAAGCTCCAAGTAACATTTGTGCCGCCATCTGAACCAAATGGAAATATTCAGGTGTATCAGGCTATGGTTTACAATGAAGATGACCCTGCTGCCATCCAGATCCACAACCTTAGTGTCATTGATAAAACAGATCAGTCAGTCACTGCCATGATAGAAGGGCTCAAAGGAGGACATACCTATAATGTCAGCGTAAGAACTGATTTTTCTCTAAAATCTTTTAAGTTGTTCTCTGGATTTTTTCTTTGATGTGAGTGAAAGATTAATCTGAATAGAGAATGCAAACCTAGGCCGAATATGAGATTTTCATGGCGAGAATGTTATCCAGGGTGTGAAGAGAGACGAGTCCAAGGAATGAGGGGAGCAATGAAGAGGGTGGAGTGAGTGGGAGTGGGACACATCAGTAATTATTAGCTTTGTACTCTGGACCACTACAAGACTAAATCTCTCTCAATCTCTCTCTTAATTCCACTTCTTGCATTGCTTATTTGGCTCAGATGAAAGGTCCAGTTCTGCAGGAGGGAGCTTTCTAGAAGTAGACTAGGATTTGAGAGGCGGCAACATGACTCTTTAAGTGGGCTTGGTTTTCTCCTTTTTGTAAGAGCTACTTTACAAGTGATGAAGTGCCTCTGTACTTAGGTTTTTCAAAGAAAGATGAAGTAAGATCTAGCAAGGTGTGAATGAGAAAAGGAGTGTTTCAGCATTCATTGTTGCTTCAAATATATCCAGATTGGGCCAATTTGAAGCTATTACAAATATTCATTAAAACAAGTATTTGTTTCTTTAAGGTGTATGCAATTAACGGTGCTGGTGCAGGGCCAAAAATTCAATTGAAGATAACCATGGATATCAAAGGTATGTCCCATAAAGGGCTCTTTAGCTGAAATCTCTATAAATGCTGAAGAATTGTACCTGTAAGTACACAGTTGTGTGTCTTTCTCTATTATTTAGGGGCTGCATAATTAGCAACAGGAACACCTAAATGACAGCCTTGAATTGCAGTGCTCAGTTTTGCTGTTTATCACTGATTATTTGCTATTTGTGTCTGAATAATACCATAAATCATGTGCTTATTCACTGAAGTAATTACCGACTTCAGTATTTTAGTTACCATCAGCAAGCAGCTTGGAACACTATCACAGAGATAAGTATATGGTATCACAGTTGCAAAAATAAATAGAATCATTGATTGAAATTCACGGAAAAACTAAGACTCAGTCTTTCATGGTTTTCTCTTTGAATTGAAAACTGATATGCAGAGACTTTTGTCAAAACACAGTTTTTAGAGGCTTAATGCATTAAGTAGAACATTAAGTCGTCCCTGAAAATATGCCAAAGATTTCTCTTGTGTAACTCAAGTGTGCGCCTGAACAAAGTACTAGTAGTGAAAGCATTTTAAAACAAAACTCTGTGGTATATCTTTGTTTGGAAACAGAACCACCACGACCTAAAAAGAAACCAGCACCAGTTTATGATGCCAGTGGGGCATTACTCGTCACAGCTACGACAATTACGATCAGGATGCCAATATGTTATTACAGTGATGATCATGGCCCTATCAAGAAGATACAAGTTCTTGTCGTGGAAGCTGGAGGTAGCATTTTATAAGTTACCTTGAAAATTGTTTTTTATTTCCTTTTTTCCATGCTGTTTGTCTTTTCTCCTTTATTTCCTTTCTTGTGTCTCAGTAATTTCACGTTAGAAAACAGCTGTGGCAACCGTACTAAGGGCAAAGTATCATTCACAGTACCTGTGGGCTGGGTACTGGATTTTGGGAATGCTTGACAACAAAGAGTCAGCCATGCTGTTTGAAGTCACCAATATTGTTCTGACCCTATTGTTATAATTATATTTCTTTATTTCCTATTTCTTTGAAAAAAAAAAAAAATTGGCATTTGTGGAAGGTAAGTAAATCTGAAACTTTTTAATGCAAGTTTGTTCTTCTGTTGCTATTAGCATTGCCTGTGAAAGAATGCTGTCATGTGCAGTTGATATTTCCATTTCATAATGGGGGCAGAGGGATTTATATAAATCCCTTCTGTAGACTGTGGGTTAGAATGTGTATTCCTTTTTATGGACCGATGAACATTTACTCATGTGAGCAGTGCTGTGATACTCTTTTGAGTAAATGTCCACCAATGTGAGTGGGAGTTTCATGTTAGGACATCTTATGGTCAGGCTTACTTTACCTAAGAACAAATTGCAGGTATTTAATGACCTCGTTTTGCTTGCTTTCGAAGTGTAGAAGTAAGGCATCCACATTGTCTCTCATCATTTTCTGAATTTTCCATTTTAACACTAATCCTACAGACATTTTTTTTCATAGCTATTGCTGTGAAGATTCTCTTGAACTGATAGATATGAAAAATAACATGTTAAACAACAGTTTGAAAATTTTTCTCCTGAGTTGCTGGGTACTGTCCACCGATGGAAATATACTAATTCCATTTATGAAACAGTGTTTAACCATTTCTGAAATAATCTTTACTATCTTTACTAGTTGTGCTCAAAGTGGCTCACACAAGTGATGTCCTCTGTGGGCAGATCTCATGTGCAAGACTGCCCCTGAAATTTTCAAGTTGTTAGTCAGTTGACTTACTCTGCATTACCAAAATATAGATAGTGTGGATAATAAGGAAATGTGGGTTCAAGTGCAAATACAGTTATAGACTTAGTTGTATGAGTGGCACTGATAGCATTCTAAACTCTTAAGAATTTTATTTCCTTTATCTTCTTTAATTACAATTTGGTTAGAATGTAATTCATATCTGATTATTTCTTTTCTTGACAATAGCTCAGCATGATGGGAATGTTACTAAGTGGTATGATGCCTACTTCAACAGACCAAGGCCATATTTTACAAATGAAGGCTTTCCAAACCCACCATGTGTAGAAGGAAAGGAAGATCTGAGTGGCAAAGAAGAGATATATGTCATAGGTGCTGATACTACATGTATGATACCAGGCAGTCAAAACAAAATATGTAATGGCCCACTGAAACCAAGAAAGCAGTACCTGTAAGTACATTTGTCTCTATGTTTGTCCAAGAGAAAGTTTTAAGTGAAATACATGTTTATATAAGCATATAAAACGTGTGGTTCGGTTATGAAAAGGTGGAGATGAAAATGATCTTCATGGTCTCTAATTTCAATTTATTTTGGCAGAGCATAAATATGGGAGACAATTTTTTTCTTTTTTTAAATAGGTAACTTTAAACAGGTAACAAAAGAGTTTTACTGAGTTTTCAAATTAAATAAGACCAAATTCAAGGGAAGTATTTAACACAGTTTGATTATACAATTAAGATACTGACACTGAGTCCTTGATGTCTGTCATAATATCAATTTAGCAAGTGAATAGTGATTCTAGCTTACATTATACTAAAACTGAAAAAACATTTCTAGTTTTTAAGTGAAATAATAGTTAAGGAAATGCACAAAAACTTTTATTTTATTAGTCTTCTTGGTTTCATTTCACAGATTTAAGTTCAGAGCAACTAACATTAAAGGACAGTTTACAGATTCTGACTATTCTGACCCTGTCAAAACATTAGGTAAGGAGAGTGTCATTTGCTGAAGTATTATTTCTCTATTTCCAAAGGCAATGTTTCCATGTTTCTTTTTAGTACAGTGGTTTCACTGATGCAAATAATCTCAATTTTTGTTGGACCAAGCTTCACCAAAATAGCTGAGGAAACATGTCCTTTCCTTGTACATCTTTTTGATGTTGTCAAGAGTTCTTACCTCAGCCTGAGCTGTTAAATAAAGTGCCACTGACAAAGTTCATTAGCAGAGATTCTTTATACGAATAAAAATACAGTTTTGCCAGGATGGCTCATCTTGCTTGTTGAACTGCCAGAAGCTTTACTGTTTGTTTCTTTACTGTTTCATTTCCCTCTGAATTGAATGTAGAGCTAGTACTGTGTACTGTTCCCTGGGTAAAAAAATGGCTGGATGGCTGTGCCCAAAGGGTTGTGGTGAACAGGGTTCTGTCCTGTTGCTGCCCGGTCACCAGTGGTGTTCCCCAGGGCTCACTACTGGGGCCTGTTCTGTTTAATATCTTTATCAGTGATCTCAATGAAGGGATCAAGGGCACCCTCAGTAGGTTTGCAAATGACACCAAGCTGGTCAGGAGTGTTGATCTGCTTCAGGGTAGGGAGGCTCTACAGAGGGACCTGGACAGGCAGGCTCGATGGGCTGTAGCCAGTTGTATGAGGTTTAACACGGCCAAGGGCTGGGTCCTGCACCTGGGTCACAACAACCCCAGGCAACGCCACAGGCTTGGGGAAGAGTAGCTGGAAAGCTGCCTGACAGGAAAGGACCTGGGGATGTTGGCTGACAGCCAGCTGAACATGAGCCAGCAGTGTGCCCAGATGGCCAAGAAGGCCAAAGGCATCCTGGCCTGTACCAGAAATGGTGTGACCAGCAGGAGTAGGAAAATGATTATCCTGTTGTACTCGGCACTGGTGAGGCTTCACCTTGAATAGTGTGTTCAGTTTTGGGCCTTTCACTACAAGAAAGACAGTGAAGTGCTGGAGCAGGTTCAGAGAAAGGCAACAAAGCTGAGGAAGGGTCTGGAGAACAAGTCTTATGAGAAGCACCTAAGAGAACTAGGATTGTTTACACTGGAGAAAAGGAGGCTCAGAGGAGACCTGATCGCTCTCTACAGCTACCTGAAAGGAGGTTGTAGTGAGATGGATGTTGGCCTCTTCTCCCGAATAACAAGCATTAGGAAACAAGGAAACAGCCCCAAGTTGTGTCAGGGAAGGTTTAGGTTAGATATTAGGAAAAATTTCTTCACTGAAAGGGTTATTAAGTCCTGGAACAAGCTGCCCAGGAAAGTGGTGGGGTCACCATCCCTGAAGGTGTTTGAGCTATATAGATGTAGTGCTGAGGGACATGGTTTAGTGGTGAACTTGACAATGCTGGGTTAATGTTTGGACTCAATGATATTAAGGGTCTTTTCCAACCTAAACTATTTTATGATTCTATGGTTCTATGCCAGTAAGCCCAGTGTAGGAAATCTCTTGGCTGCAGATCATTCTGTCTAGTGACACCTCATCTGAGGACATAACCCTTTATCCTTTATGTATAGATGAAGCTCTATATTAATTAATAAATTAATATTGTTTAATAGAATCCATTTGGTTCTGATGTCACTGGCCAATTGGCTGTCTGTTGTGGGGTCTTAGACCCAGCATAAATGCCTCCATTTCAGTGTTGATCTACCCCCAAAACTGGGAATGAGAACTGTCACAGCAGACCACAATAAGATCTTTAAGTTCTTTTAATACTTTAGTAAGTCAAAACTTACTTAGCTAAGCATTAGCCCTGACTTTCTGAAAAGGGATCCCAAGACAACTTGATGAATACCCAGAAGAATCTTAGTGGGCACATATTTTTCTTTTGGCATTCATCTTCTGTGATATGAGCTCCCTTGTTCATCTAATCTATGTAAGAATTTCGTTACATGATCTGATACTGAAGAACCTGAAATGCTAATTCACTACCTGAATATTCTGAAAGGATCTGGCACTATTTCTTTAGCCCTGAATGTTTAGGATAGTGCAACACAAAAGTTATCTTTATATGTTCCGAGTTTAAAATTTCTCAGCCATTGAAGCAAATAGATTGCCCAGTAAGGGAAAGACAGTGTATCCAATCACGGAAAACAAGTCTACTAGAAATGTGTCCAGCTGCATCCAGTCCTCTGGGTAGCTTCCTCCTTTCTAACAGAAAAGTCTGCAGTGCTTACAGGAATCATGCTTCAGTGGCAGGCAGATAGCGTAATTCATTCACTTCTGTATTGTTGAACACTTGTGATACATTCTCTTTTGGTGTAGATCATAAAGAAACAACATCTGTTTGTATGCTGAATAAAAGATAATGGGAAAAAAAAATAAGACCTGATAAATGACTCAGACATCCGTGGCTCCTCATATCCATTTGGTACCTTCTGTGCCAAAGCTTAATGTCAAGCACTACTTTTAAAATGGGCACTACAGCAAACTCATGTATGGCCTTAACTTCTTAATTTCAGATGCTACCAGCAAGAAACAAAACTTAAGTGGAAGAGAGAATTAAAAGTTGCTTTTATGTTCTCTTCCAAGTGTTGTGCAAGCAACATCAAGCTGATACACCACAAGTGATGCAATTACTGCAGTTGAGTAGCCCGGAAAATACAGCACTGGCAGTGCCATTACCAATGGCATCTTAAGTGAATAAAGGAAGTTAGATTTTTTCAGACACATTTTCTCTTCAGACACATAACCTGAGGAATCTTGCCCAAGTGTTTCCTTAAAGAACATGCTTTGGTTATATGAACTTCAGACTTCCTCTAGAAGCATAACCCAGAAAACATACCAGAAAGATCAGTAGCTGTTAGGTAACTGTGACCAACTACTTCTATTCCACTTCTAAAACCGGCATCTTTTAAGAAGAAATTTATGCTGCCTGAAATAAGATTTGCATTTTAATTTTAACTCAATTATCTTATTTTGTAGTAATCACGAAATTTGCATTTTTCTGACACTTCCAACATCTGATCATGAGGTGGGTTCCTTCGGCACCCTGAGGAGAGTATCTCCAAAACAGCATCTTTTATTTCGTGCCTGTGAGTGATGGCTGCGAGCCTCATGGCTTCAGAGTTGTGGCTCGTCCTTTTCCACTTCTGGAGCTTGATTACTTCTAGCTGTTAAAGCAGTGTGTCTGTTCTTAGAGGCACAGAGACTGAAGCTCAGCTCACGCTAGTGTTCAGATGGATGTTGCTACAGTGTAGACCTACCTCGACCTGTTTAACAGGTAAAACAGAAAAGCAGCAGGGGATGACTGCACAAAAAGCTGTAGACTTATACTGTTAGCATTATGTATTACATAAGCCAGCAATGCTTAGGAACCTTTGCATAAATTGTTTCTGGTTTTGTTGCATTTTTCTTTCCCAAGCAGCTCTTTGAATGACACAAAACAGATGCAGTTGTACGGAGAGAAGAGTGTCTTTCTCTCATCGCTCCCTGATTTTACCCTGTTAGAAATGTTAAAATTGTAATGAATCTATTAAATACTATATTTCCACTTTTTATTGCAGGTGAAGGACTGTCAGGAAGATCTGTAGAAGTTATCCTTGCTGTTACTTTGTGTATACTTTCAGTGGTTATTCTGGTGGGAGCAGTATATGCTTTTGCAAGGTGAGATTTATTTATGCCTGCCGTACTGTGTTTGCAAGCACTCAATAATGTTGTAAAGAAGAGTTGAAACAGTCCTATAAATGCAACCAATTGGCCATTTCAAGAAGTATTGCAATGTCTTTTTTTTTTTTTTTTTTTTTTTTTTTTTTTTTTTTTTTTTTTTGTGGTGGTGGGTGGTTGCTGACTGGTTGGTTCGTGTACAAACTGAGGGAGCGACTCACAAAGGGTTTAGTTTTGTGAGGGTAACATCCACAGTGGAAGGAGGAAAGACAGCTTCTCCATAAGATAAATCAGAGCCCGTCTTACCCTTTTAGACCAATTTCTCTATTGATTTGAGGATATAGATTAGAATATCAGCTGCCTGAGGTTAGCATGATGGCTGAACCTATTGGTGACTTGATGTGAAGTAAATACTTCAAATTTAGTTTTCTGTCTTATTAATAAATTTATCAGTGAAGTAGATTGGAGTCTCACACATAAAGAATTTTAGACAATGTAACTGCCCGATTTGACTAAATCGTGCTGTTGGGAGAGCAGAATAAAAGCCAAGGAAGGATTCCCAGCAACCATTTTCAGTTTTAGCCTGTCTAATCAAAGTATTGACATATGCATCCTTAAATCTTTTGTACATTTATTTTTCACTATTATTTTCTGTTTAGAATTCGGCAAAAGCAAAAAGAGGGAGGCACATACTCCCCACGAGATGCTGAAATTATTGACACTAAGTTCAAACTGGATCAGTTGATCACAGTGGCAGACCTGGAGCTGAAGGATGAAAGATTTACACGGTAAGCGTACTCCTTAGGCAAAACAGTAGTCCAAAGGGGCTGTAGCCATGACCCCTTTCTGACCTTTGCTTGTTTGGAAGTGTTTGTGGTGTTCTTATTTACACAGGTCACTGAGATCCTCTTTCAAAGAATGACCTCCATCCTCAAGACACTTCTCACTAGCTTTTAGAAAATCACTTAATCTTCAGCTCTTTTTACAACGAGATAAGGATCTAAGTGCAAATCACTGTTTAATTGTGTTAGCAAAAAAGAGCTACGTATTTTTAAACATGCAGAATTTCTGAATTTTTTTGGGTGGCCCAGTGTTTTATGTAGACTACAAACCTACATAAGCATTTTGGAAGAGTCAAACTCCCAGAAGTCCTGGTCAACTAATTTGAGAACAAATCTGTCATTTTCAATTGACATTGTGAACATATTTTTTTTGTTTATCCCACAAAGAGATTTGCGTAACATCTGGGTTTCTGTGGAGCTCAGCACACTGGCTATCCTGACATCTGCTCCTTTAAGGTGCATGCAGCAATTCCAGGTTATTCGTACTTTCTGTCCCACAAAGAATCTTGTCAGGTATTTTTCAGAAGGAAAACTGCTCTTTCTAAACCACCAGAAATATGGATATTATTCACTGAATAAATATAATTATCATTCTCAATAATATATGATGTCCAACTGAGTTAGAAATGTTCGGTGAACATCCTTCACCTGCCTGTATTTTCCCTGCTGTGTCACAGATTAGACGCTGTGGTAGGCAGTCTCCTTAAAGATGAGAAGCCTAAAATAGTCTTGCCCTAGCAGTCAGGCATCCTACTGTTGCAGCCTAGGAATAGCTGGAAGATGAAAGGTTGTAGATGTTGACCTGTTTTGTTTGAGTGTGTGTACGTCTATGTGTGTGGTACAGAGCAAGCTCACTGCATGTACAAACTTGTTCAAGACAGTGCACACAGCAATGGCTGCTTGTAACAGATGAGAAAACATACTACGAGTCATCTGGCAATCGTTGATGTAATGGATGTGGTATGTTTGGTGTGGGACACCAGTCATTCATCTGACTGAGCGTGGTTTAGTCCCTGCCAGTAACAGTGGAAAACATTCTCTGAAGACAGAGCCACTGCCAGTGCACTGTGATAACTGACTTGTATAAATTGTCTCGAGGAGGTTCAAAATGGCCTTGTTTCCAAACTGTTAGCTGAATAAGAATAGTATTAATTGTGTTTATATACTAAAGTGTTAATGGATTTTACTTCCAGATACTCTTCATTTTTCTTTAGACGCAAGGAGATATTTGTCATCCAGTAAGTTTTTGTATTATTGAAGCAATGTGGTGTGTTTTCCATTCTGTTCTCTTAACCTGTGTGCTACCATACTACACTGAATGATACAGTTAATCAAATTTAAATGTCTATCTTTGCAGCTATGCTAATGACAAACAGTGGTATCTGTCATCATGAAATCATGTTACTTTTTAGTCCCTAATTTTAAGATACAACATTTGCGCAACTGTTTTAAAATAAATCAGGGCAATTTTTTATATGGTAATTATAACACATTATAGCAATGTAGCACTGATCTATGCAACCTATCCTTGAAGCAAATGTTACACAAATGTGACATAAGAAACATGCTGTTTCTTTCCTTTGGCAGCCAGAAAGTATGTATGCAAGAAAATTTCTCTTTTTTTCTCAACTGTCTTTTCTGCTCAGACTGAAGCTGTTTTGTACCACGTCGCTGCAATCTCAGCAACGTATCCAGGCAATAGAATCCTTTATCAGTTTGCAGAGTACTAGTCTGCCACTTTTCCATCTAAATTTTGTGTGGTTTAGATTTGTACAGTCTCAAACTCTACAGACTAATTGCAAACTATGTGTCATACTTCCATGCATGTCATTATGTGCTTTATGCACAGCAAGGCCTTTACTGAATAGTGCTTCAGCAGTTTAGTGACATCACCCCTATTTTAATGTCAGTCTTACGTATTAATTTGCAATTTGTCATGTTCTTCCCTCTGTATTTTTCTCTTTCCTTCTTCCCCACTCCTTTAATGGCCAAAAGCAAAGACTCTTCTTCTGCCATTCCTGTAAGGTACATGATGCAGCTGTTAAATTTGGATTATTTTTCAAACAGTAGCAGCACTGAAGCTACAGCAGCCTCCTTGCACAGGCCCTTTGTTGGACATTATGACAAACTGTTGAATTTTGAAGTGCAGACACTAACTGAGAGTTCCTCAGGAAAGACTTTGTGCCACCTTTTCAGCTGGAAGTCAGTAAATGTTCTATGGGACACTGCTAGGTCCCATACATAGTGTACACATAATACCGGGGAGCAGGATATCCTTTATCTGCTCAAAACTTTTTAGTTTAATACAACTTTTTTTTTTTTTTTTTTTTTATGTTTTAAAGACAGTTTCAATATGTTTAATATTCTGTTCTGGTCATATCAATGTGACCAAAAGGGATATTTTAGGTGCCTCTAATACTGTCTTTCATATAGATACATCTTTCCTGGTAAAGAAGAGTTATATCAAGAAGCTGGCAGAAGTATGGCAGCATGCATCAAGGCAGCTTACTGCCAAACCTAATGTTTAAAATATTTTTCCTGCCTGTCTTAGAAGTCCACAGTTACAGCATGAAAGACCTTTTTCACCTGTTGCCTTTGGGGAATAGTTATGTAGAAGTCAATCAAAGTCCCAGTTCTTGTGTTGTCCTTATCGTTCTCGTGATTTGTGGTTAAAGCAGTGACATGTTAGCATGTCAAATTGTATTAAATGTTGGTGACTGCAGTGTAACCCTCACAAATTTTTCCGGCATTTTTGGAATGGGACTGTATCTGCATAACCTACTGCCATGCGTTGGCTGCCTGTAGTCAGTTATGTCAGCTGTGTTTGCAAAGCTTGCTGTGCTGCAGAATGCTGCTTTCAGTGCATGGCGTCTTGTAATCATGTGAGGAAAATATAGAGGGGCATGCTCCTTTTCCAGGCTGGCTTAGTTGTTTGTTGGACAGCTGTAAATCAGCTGAAATCTGGTCCACCCAAGTATATTTCTACCCTGAAAGGTTGACAGGGAGTTTGAGTGAAAATATAAGGTAATAAAAGAGCAGTACTGTTTATTATCTTTTTTTTTTTCCCCCTGTATCTACTAACCATCCCATTCAGTGCCCATTTGAAGAAGATGCTTTGGAAACCAGGTGCTTTGTCATTTCTCACCCAGTATGTTATTAATCATGTTAGCTACTATAAATCAGTAAAGGCATGGACTTATGGCTGACACAGTTCATCCACAGAATCAAGATACCCTAGCCTGCTCTGTGAGATCCCTCTTGACTGCCTCTCACACATTGTTTCTTCAGACATTCTCTCATACTTACTGGATCGTGGCCTATGATCTCAGCTCATATGCTCAGAAAATTTGTGTAGTTGTTATCACATGAGAAATAAAAAGAAACAAGAAAAGGTTTTTCTGTTCTGTAACATTATGAGTGGAAATATTTTCTACCATTCTTACCAGATCAAAAATTCAAGAGCTTCAAAAGTTTAATGAACCAAAACTCATTGAATGTTCAGTGTAGGTTAATCAAAACATTTTATTTCACGCATTTTAATGACTTTTTTAGTATTAATTATTTTGTATTATGAAAGTCAGTTTAAGTAGAAACCCCATGAAATTTAAAAGTGCCAAATGTCCCATTTTGGCAATTTGAAACTTTTTGGGGGGGTCTACATTTTTTTCAAATCAGAAAATTCATGGCAAATCCCAGTTCCCAGAAGTAGTATTTTAACATAATTGTCATCAGAAAAAAAAAAAAATCTTGAAAAACTTCAGTGTCTGAAAATTACTAATAGTAACTAGTACATCATCTCTCAGCAAGTCTTTGCTGGACATTTAATTAGTAGGATGTGGTTTCAGAGGGTTTGCAGGGAATAAAGTCCTATTGAATTCAGTGGAAAATGAGATTTGTTTTATGAGGCCAAAATGCTGACTTTGAAGGGGCATATGTTGATCTCCATGATGGTATGAGACAGGCAATAACAGAAAAAACCGACCCATGGTTAAAACATATATATAGCCCATTAGTCTAAACTGGAATAAACATCACTTCATTGGGCACACTGAATATACATACACTGGGGCATCTCATTAATTATGTAACATGTCCATAGGGTTTGGGAAGTCACCTTTCAAAGCAGACATGCATCTGCTGTGAATAGATTCTGTTACTAAATTTTTAGGGCACACTAGGTTTGGTGAGAGACAAGTGACCCTTCCCTGTTGCAGGTGCTCACCTAGGAGAAGGCTTTTCTGGCACTCTAGCCATGTTTTCTGAAGCCAGGATAAAGCCACCCAGGTCCCGCTTTCTTAAAATCCTTCCTTGAGGATTTGCACCTTGTGGTGGATGCTTTAAGGCTTTTGTTTCATTCTCCATGAAACAGCTTGTCAAGCAAATGGAGCACAAATTCAGAAGAAATATCTATGAATTACAGACACTGTAACCCTTGTAAATACCAAGTAATTACAACTCTTTATGGAAAATATTGTATACAAAATGATTGTCTGATCTCACCTTTCGTATATATTTTGCATTCAGTAGTTTCTATATTTGAGGTAACACTTCTGCACACACATTACTTTCTCTAGACTAGTCTGTTTCTTTACTCTGTGAGTGAGGATAGGCATGGCTCCTGCCTTTCCTTTTTCTTCAAGTCTCCCTTTAGTAATCAACCATCAAGAACAGGCTTCCTGAGCTTTTTGTCCCCAGAGTGCAAGGTTTATGAATGTACGTGTCCTCGTACAATGGAAGAAATGACTATTTGTTCTCTTTCCTTAGGCCTTTAATATTTAGGAAGGGTTAAGTTCCATATTGCTTTCAATTAACTTGCTAAAAATTAGTTCCTCCATTGGTCAGTGGTGCTTATGAGTTAAGCCTTTTGCCTATATACTCATTTCTACTTTTTCTATTTGGACGAAGTTTTAATTCCCTGTGGATTTCAGATGATTGACCCAGAGAGAAAGCCAAGTCTGTGTGACAATATGGTCTTCAGTTACCACTGCCAACACAAATAAATGGCTTCTTTCTAGCTCTATCATAAGTAATCTGAGTGGGATTCAGATTTTTGATAGACTTCAAAAAAATCCCACACATGAAACAATACACTGTTTTAAAAGGAAATCAGACTTAAGGCAATAAGGCATTCTTTATCTTGGAGAATGTTTTTCTTTCCTAGTTTCAAAGTCAGACAAGTGGGAATCTGGAATTGTCCAGCTGAAAGAGGGAAATTTGCAACTTCATGGTTTGATTCTAAATTGTGCTCATCGAGATCTAGTGATATCTATATTCTTATGTTTTATACAGAAGACTTAGAAATGTGTAGAAAGAAATTACAGGTAGATGAGGATTTTTCACTGATGAAATACTGTAAGATTATACATATTCCAAGTCAAGCGAGTTGGAAAAAATACTAAATTTTTGAAACTTGAGGATGCTGAAACTAGGCAAAGCTCTAAGTGTTTAGTGAGAATACAGAATTCATCCCTTCTGAAGACTCTTACATGATACAATCAACGTCTTTGCCAGAAAAGTTAGACATTCATTTCCATATCAACATTTACATCACATCATCTTATTTTCAGACCTGCCAAGCCACTATAATGTGCATTTGCTACCAGCAGAATTGTGAGGATTCAATAGGTCTGAAAATCAAGTTCTTCACTTAAATGCCTAAAGACAGATGCAAGTTTCAATGTGTAGGTGCCTCACTTCTTTAAAAATGTTTACTGCTTGTGAAAGAGAACATACAATTATGCCTTTAGAAAGAATCACCTGTTATTAATGTTAAAAATTAACTAGAAAGCAATATATGTAACAGTAAGTGTGTAGTTCATTTGCTGAGGTATTCCAGTGTTTTGCTTCCCTGCTTTCAGTGAAAGTAAAAGAAGGAAATATTGTTGAGTAAGGTGTTGTTGATAGTGCTGCTTGTCTCCTGTGTTCTTTGCTATTGGATCCAAGTACCTTTAGCACTGAAGCACCAAATGACATACTCAGGTTGCTTATGTACTGCAGAGATAAAACTTTTATTTCCTAATGACTAAACTGCATTTACTAACTGCAAGTTGTGTGCAGTAAGCCCCTAACTGCTATCAGTTTGAGGGGAGGAAAGCCAACAATATTAAAAAAATTCCTGGGATGTCAACAAGGAGGTGATTTTTTTTCTGTTGTTCCATGATGAAGATTAATTTGAAGAAAAAAAATGTGTCATTTCTTTGCAAAGACTGCTTAGATTTTTGCCCTGAAAAAAAGGCCTAAAAATTTTACTTTCTGCCCAAAGATAAATATATTTGCATGCAGTAGCTTGGCACTGCTATTAAGAGTACTTTTTCTTCAGGAAACTTTAGCTCTATAATGTTGCCAATATTACTAGACAGGAGTTTCATCTGCCATGTAATGCAAACAACATAAGTGATACAATAAGCAATAGCTAGTTTTTTAAACATCCCAAATAAATAGAGTTGCATGCTTTGTCATCTTATTGCTTTCTTTTAATTCTAAAGCTCTGCTTCAGTTATCCTGGTAAACATTTGGAGTCTGAGCCTTTTTCTGTGGATTCTTATGCTTTTTACTCCCGTGAGATTGACCCAAAGCTTTCATAGCCAGTTTACTTTGTTTGAAGAGAACTGTCATAACAAAGTATGTACCACAAAGGCATCTTTTGTAGCTTTGAAATTAACTTCTCTGATGCTTAATAATAAATGATTCAGCAACTCTATTAATCTCATTTTATTACCTAATTTAAAATTCAAATGTTTAAGGACAACTTCATACACAAGTATTTTTAAAGCAAATTGTTGTCTTTTCTATTAATATTACAGCAGCAATATTATATTCGCACTATAGAATAGTTTTTGTAATATTTGTATGTAAGAATGTATGCTTTTTGGAGAGACAAAGCCCATAAAAGGTGTGCTTTGATGTTTTTTGAAGGGGCAATTTATCTTCTAAACTGTATTGCTTCAAAATTTTTTGTCTTGGTCTTTTAGACAAGCTTTGTGAGTCTAAGTGCCCAAAATCTGGCTTCTAAATCTGTAAGGCTTAGATATTCTTAAAATGGGTTCAGAAGTGATGACGGTGACCAAGTTTCAAGGCCATCTGAAAGTCCCCTGTTTATAGATGCTCACGTGACATCTTCATGAAACTGCTGTGAGATCAAGTTAAAGATTTAATATATAGCACAGTGTTTAAAATCACCATGCACTACAGTGAACATTTAAAAATGAGCACGAAAACAGGCACTCATTTTAACAATCTTTAGAAAAGCAGCCAGAGCTCTTTAGTTTCTATAGAGGCACAGCAATAGCATGGTTCATCTGTGATTTATTTTAGATATCTGCTTAAAATAAGATGAGATCACACTAATTTCTCTTCACTGATTATAAAAGGAATCTAGACTGACTGGCTCAGAAATAGGTGTCTGTATTCAGTCAGATGAATCCTACCCTTACACACTGAAACAGCCCTTAGAAAAGTGATATTGAGTAAGTACCTAGTGTAAAACAAAGCCTGGCAATGTATATGAAGTGGTGTGCTGGAAGTATGGATTTCCCAGGGCATATGAGCCCTGAAGAGAATGATAGAAACTCTGACTACCATATCCATATCTGCCAATACCTGAGATAAGAAACCTAAGCAAGACAATCGCCCAAGATATCTGACATATATTAGTATCTGAATCCATGAAATTAATAAATCTAGTTCTTTAGTTACTTCAGTATTTCATCTAGAACCTATTAACATGCACGATATTGGTTAACTCTCAGCTTGCTACATTTAACAAAAGTCTCTGTTGCAGGTTACTTAGTTATAGAAAATCCATCAAGTAAGTTGATTAAAGATTTTTATATTGTGCTTGTTGGTGAGTCTCAATGTGTGGTTTCTTCCTCTGTGTTTATTAGAAAAAAACTCCAAGCTGCGTATAAATCATAAAAGCATGACTAATTGCATGGTAACAGGAGAAATGCTTTCTCTCTCTCTGGGGTGAAGCTTGCATGTCTGTGTTTTAGCTTGGGAAGTAATACAGGGATATTTAAACTCCTCGGGGTTTAAAAACCATGTCATTATGAGAATGAGGTCACTGCAATATTTTATAGGTCTAAAACCTTGCAATGTCTAAAATGTTTTCTGTGCAACAAAGAAGTATTATGTACTTCAGAATGCAATGATAACTTTACAGATTTCCATTCGTGCCAAACCCTTGCTTTGGAATGCTATCACCTATAAAAACAATCCTACCCTACAGTACTGCTGTTAGCAACATTAAAAGTGTGGTGAGGGGGAACAACAAGGGGAGAAAATTCTTCTATTTCAAGTGACTGAGAACAAACCAAATAAGCAGGCTGTAAGCAGTTTATAATATTCTGCCTGCAAGTATGAGCTTCTATTGAACTGTAAAGCATTGTTTATTAATAAACTGCAGTTAAATAAGAATAAAAAGAACAACAAAGAAATTCCTTGTAGGATTCTAATTCTTCTGTCATTACTTTCAGGCCAATAAGCAAGAAATCCTTCCTACAACATGTTGAAGAGCTTTGCACAAACAACAACCTAAAGTTTCAGGAAGAATTTTCGGTATGTTGCTAGCAGTTGTCACAACATTGCAAGACCTTCGGTCGTTTCATGTGTCACATTTCATGTCCATTTTAAGCAGGCAAGGCCATGAAGGACTCTGGCCTTGATAATCAATACCCAATTACCAGGTTGATTGTTTAGAAAGTAATATTACACTGATTTGGATTCTGCAGTCTACACTGCAACCTGATCAGAATTATTCACCAAAGTGTCAGCAGAGGATGGTCTTCTTTCGACAGCGATCTTTGCAAGAGCACCATGATATTTATACATTTACATATATAGCAATGCCTCTGTAGTTTACCTGAGAACAGTTTATTTAGATATTCTTTTCTAACATTTATAGAGGTATATTTAACTGCTTTAAATAAGTTCATTTTCCTGAGCGGTGATGACCCCCAAAATACAGCTGACATTTATCTGTGAAATGTTCAGACCCTGGTCATACTGCCATGGAACTCAGAAATGGTTTTCGTTCATAAGTTTCAGTGAGGAAAGTAAAAAAATTGTGCATGGTACTTTGCTTTTTGTTCCTTTACAAATATGTCATGCTCTTGAGAACAGACTCCATGTGAATAACCTTCGCCTTCTTAAGCTAGTACATAAACAGAGTAAGCCTGTCTTTCTGTTTAAAAAGAGACCAACTTTCAAAATATACATTACATTACACATAGTGCATATATACTTTTGAATTTAAATCTCAAAATTTTCACTGTTTTTGTTAAACATTTTTACTGCTATCATATTTTTTTTCTCAACAATTTTTTCTCATTGTTTCAGAATCTTTATCACCATCAATTTTATTATACAGAGTCATTTGCCCCCCAAAAAAACCCCAATTTGTCAGTCTCCAGTGACTTTATTATTTTGGATTTATATATTTACCATGAATTACTTACCAGTTGGGTTAACAAATATGAAGACTCAACAATTGGCGTTTCTTCTGCTAGATTATAATATTTCAGTCTCTGAGGGAAAATCATCAAAAGTGTGAAAAGATTAATGGTATTTCCTACAGCTTTTTGTTATGCTCCTTAGGTAAAATTGGTCTGGATTTAATAATAAAAAGCACCATAAAATTCTCTGAGCAATAAAGAAAGGAGAACTTTTTTTCCAAGAGCAAAGTGTTATTTCACTTGAACAAGAGTGTTCATAGTTATATTATGCATGACTGAACAGATGAAAAGTTTTAATAGCAATAGCATTTTCACATATTAACTTTTATCACTGTAAAGTTTCTAGTATTACTTTCGTTAGGTGTGACCCACAATGGCTAAGCCCTACAGCATTGTAGTGCCTTAAAACTTAAACAATGGTGTTTTATCAATTCAGAATCTTGGAAAACCATTTCAAATTTAGAGAAATACAAGTAGCTGACACCTCATTGAACTGAATTATATGGTCCACTTGTAATCAACAGTTTTATATGTCATTTGGGTTTCCATTTTTTTTTTTTCTCTCTGAGCTTCATCTTCCATGTTTCAGAGTGTAGTGATATCTTCCCAGATGACTTGTCCAAGGGCAGGGAGAATTGCAGGGTAGGTTCCATCCATAAGAATATACTGTCTGTAGCACCTGCTTTATCAGATGAATAATAGGATTGACAATGCACTTGAAATACTATCAGAAATGACAATGCACAGAAACAGACAATGCACACTGCAAATAAACAGACCTCATGACCTACATTGTTTCCATCCACGTTCATCATTTTAGTTCCATGTAAGTGACTCAAGGATCCTACAATGTGTGTAGGAGAGATGAGGTCAAGCTATAAATCCACAGGCCGTTATATCTGAGGCACATAAAAAAGCATGGTGCTGAGGTTGCTTGGGCTCTCTTGCTGTCCCTGTACTACTAAATTCTAGTGTACCAGGAACTGGACATGAGAATATGGTAATTTACACTAATAAAGTGTTAGTATATTCCTTGCCTTGAATTTGGACTGTTTCAGCTAGCAGTCTTCCTGGACAATTCTAAAGGTATGTTTTGATAGGTAAAGTAGTCCGGGGATCATTTGCAATAGGCAGTTTGTAGACAACAAACTTGTTTTGGAGTTTTCTAGCATAAATGTGGCTCTTTCCATTTCATTTAGTCTTGAAATGCAGGGACATTTCTGATCTCATCTAATTTGTTGGACTGACCAAGCTGCTGTACCTGAAGATCTCCAGGGTTCAGTCTGGGTCTGTGTGTGAATGTGACCTGTCTGTAAATGTGGTGAGAAGAGTTTATGGGAGAATGGATCTGTATCCACAGCCTGTCAGAAAAGACAAGCTGAAAGAAACCATGTGGAGCCACAACAACCTGTGGTGGACACCACCTAGCTGGTATTCAAACTTCCAGCTTTCCAGATGATTCATGTATCTCTCAATACCTTTGGGAAGTCAAGTTTTTCTACTAACTGGCAAATTAATGAAACAGAAATACTTCTGTAAGTGTTTTACGATAAGCTCTGCTCATGAATAAAGCAGTGACATACCTCTGAATGTCACCACAGTACCATAAAATACTGCAGTAAACAAAATGTAAATTAATTATTTCAAAGTTTTGAGTCTGCAAAGAAATACAGTTTCTGTGACATATTGTTATTGAATTAGGAACCCAAATAGTCTCTCCCCAGTTCTGAAAATAATAATTTAGACTGAAGTCCATACTGATGCAGAGAATAGGTATAAGGCATTTGAGCGCTTGTTCAGATATGGAAGCATCATTACAAAAATATAATCTGCTTCTCTATTTCCTCTCTACTACTAAGTGCTGTACAGCGGTGCTGCTTCCTCACTAGTTAGCTGGCAAGCTCAGACTTGGAGAAGTGAGGCAAATGAGGCAGGTTCAAGTTCACATGACATGCACATGGTATGGGATCCCATGACCCACAACACCTGCAAAATGGCATAGGCATTTAGTCTATGTTTTTCCTTCACACAAAGTTCAGGGACAGAAATTTTGTGGGAGAGTTTCAGCTTTCTGAATGAGAAGAATTTTAACATCTCCACCCTTAGCTATAGTTTACCATTCCTATTGAATCCTGACAGGAATGCACAGAAGTCACTCAGCTGTGTCTGAGAACAGAGATCTTTCTCTAGATTCAGTTGTAGGACTGGGGCTTTACACTTCTGAGGAAATATTGAAACAAAAGACAGAGGGAAGTGAAGAAGTAAAAAAAAAAAAAGAATTGTTGAGTATGACAGAGTTTCATTTAAAGATAAAACTTTAAAATAATGAGTGTCTTTAGAGACATTTTTCTACAGTATGTTACAGTCCATTTAGTTTTGTATTTACTGCATGTCTGTTAACTGTGTTTTAAAATTTACTAACATACAGATACAAATGTAAATTCAGCCGTTCTTTATAAGGTGATTTTAAGTCAGAAACTCTTTTTGGAAGGGGCATAATCATAGACTTTCCATCTCTAGGAAACATTCAGAGAGATTTTGAAGGGCATGGATGGGATGCAGTCCCCTGTTAATTTTCAAAGGGAGATGAGCATCTGATTGTTCTCTGCGACTCTTCACCTGATTCTTTCCCCAAGGAAATATGTGTCAGAGGTAGGAAGAGAAGTCAGGTCCCTTGTATGAAGGTCCTTTGTTTTCATTGTGAAACCATCTTTCCCCTCGTGTTCAGAAGCACCTACAGTTACATTATCCAGGATATAATTATAGAAGTGAAGTAGTCCTTATTTATGTCAGATGGTGAAAGAAATTTCTCATGGCATAATACTGTATATAATTCAGTTCAAGGCTTTTAAGCTCTCTTTTATATGTCACACATTATCCATTGTACAAGATAGGGTATCAGATTAAGTGAACTCTTGGCTTGGTTTGTTACATCAGTTTTTAAATTATCCCTTTTTGCTAATGTTCATATTAAGTTATTCTTAATACCTGAACACATCAAATAAAATTGACAAAATATTTGAATCCACAATGAAAGAAAAACATGAGAATAAAAAAACCACACCCTTATTTCTATTTTTCAACATTATTTATTTATTTATTTGCTAATAGTTGACCATTAAGTTTTATTTCTAGAAGACAAACTGTCTCAAACACTTAGGCAAAAGAACACTTGAAGATAATTGACACTGAATCTGGTAGTAGGGCTATCTCCTGCCTTTTGGAAGTAGCTCATGTAGAGTGTAATTGTAACATTAAAGGAAAAATTTGGAGGGATCACTCAGCACAAGTGACAAAATTCTGTGTTGTACTCATTCAAAGCAATTGGTAGATAAAGTAGACCTCTTCCTCTGTGTTTTAGCTAGATGTCCAAATAGACTTGCATATAACATTTGTCAAACAAAGGGAAAATCTATTACAGTTAACATAGTTATTAACTTAGAAATTCTGGCTAAAATCTAATTTTTCTGATTTTTTTGTTCTCTTTTCACCACTAAAAGGTCATCACATTAATAAATTTCTCCATTAACAAATTATTAAGTTGTCTCCACTCTTTTACTCAGCTTTGGAGATTATACCTATTTATGTATGCAAAGACCCCCTTCAAATACATTCCTCAATATGGACGATTTCTCCAACTCTGCCCTTCAGTAATAGAACTAATGACCAGTTATGAAACTGCAGTACAACCCAAAATAACTCTTCCCACCCCTTTCATGAACAGTCCTGTGAACAATAGCTAATTGCCAGTTGCCTCAACCTAATTAAATTCTCACCAGTTCTCATGCTGTGGCAAGAACTCTCCCAAGCTGCAGCAGTCAGGAAGAGGCATTATTCACCAGTCAGGCTGAGTCAGTAGGGCATGGTAACCAAGCATGTGACTTTATGAAAAGACAGAGAAGAACTGCAAAAGGTGATAGGCTGGCTTTATCCAGACTTGTAAAGGTGAAAGTTCGTGTAAGCTTTAATTGTTCAACTTGACAGCATCGTCTGCAGTGCTTCATCTAACGTTGCTGGTGTAACTGGGGTTGACAGTGAGGCAAAATGTTCTCTAATGCTTCCAGCTGTTCTTCGGAACGCACTCTGCTGCAGAACTGAGGTAGTCTTCCTCTTACTGGGTCATTATGTCACTTTTCTTATAGCCTGGTAAGATAAAATGCAAAGGTTTGCCAACAAACATTTATTCCTCTACAGGAACTTCCCAAGTTTCTGGAAGACCTGGCTTCAACTGATGCTGATCTGCCATGGAACAGGTCTAAGAACCGTTTCCCAAACATAAAGCCATGTATGTTTTTACTGATCAACTCCTCCGTTTTGCTCTCTACCTTCAGTAGTGCAGCATATATTTGGAATGCAACTGTATTTTTGTTTGATCTGCCTTTGAAATAGCAGTACAATCATGTCCACATTATGAAATAATTTTCTGTCATGTAATCTGTCTTTTCACTGTATGTTTTTAAAGACACTTTTATCTGCAAGTAGGTTTCAGCTTGCTCTCACAAGCTCTAATATGCAGGTGCAAGACACTGTAGCTTCAGTAGTTTCTTAGCTTTGTAATTCAAGACAAAGAGCAAACTCTTTAACGTTCTTCCTCTTTTTTTTTTTTTTTTTTTTCCCCTTTAGTGAGAAGTAATTGTTTTAAACATATAAAATCCACATGTTTGTGCATTCAGCTACCTCAGGAGCCTGGGTGTGCTTTCTTGAGGATATGTGTACATGTGCTGCAAAGGTTCCAAAGAAGATCAGAGTGACTGTATGATAACTTATAAGCCAAGGCTAGATTGTATCACAGGAGACGGGAGTCTGTCTCCCTGTGCTCAACACTGCTTCATTTTTCAGTTAATAAGACAAGAAATGTCATTATTATTTTAGGCATTAGCTGTGATGTGAGATGGGGAGCGTGGCATTCCTTGGTTAATAATGCTACATTCTGTGCTATTAACTTTTCAGAGCAGCTGTTCCTGCTATCTGCTGCCTTGTTCAAGACATACTCTAAGTTACAATCACTAAAAATTGATATTCATGACACACAATGAAATATAAATCTTTACCTTTGAATTCTTTTTTTTTTTATAAAGTTGAGGACCAAACACCAAAATGTGGAATGTTTGGTTTCAGTGTTTACTTATTCATATATGACAACTTTCCTGGTTTTCTGTCATTTCTGCATACGTATTGTAGGTTTAAAATGGAAACCCTCAATATATATATTTTTTTTTTCTGTAATAGTGAGCTTGCCTTGTGTAAAAGAAGTAAAGGTATGTAAAAGTGCCAGGATCTGGTTCATATCTGTGACCTGGACAGCGAGTATACAGGAAAGACTGTCAGACCCCTGACCCTGCTGTCTGATTCACACAGAGGTTGTCTGTGCTAGAACAGCATATGACTTAAAGTACATGGCCCTACATTTAGGCAGAGGATCCTCCCATACATATGTCAAACTGGAGGTTCTGGCGCATTCACCATTTTAATTTAAAAGTATTATATTAAAATATGTCTGGAACATTAAAGGATGACGATACAGTACAGGGAAGTGGTTACATTCCCTTTGTAATTAGTGTTCTACCATGTCAAATATTGTTAGATTAGCAACCATAACAGCATTTTTTAACTTCTGGCACTCCAGGAACACTTGTTAAATGCATCTATGGTTTTTGAACAAATCTTTTAGTTAACTAGACTTTATTTCCATGATAGATAATAACAACAGAGTAAAGCTGATGCCCGATGCTGGTATTCCTGGATCTGACTACATTAATGCCAGCTACGTGTCTGTAAGTAGATAAAGTCTCTCATATTTTTACTATATTTGTTTTCTGGTAGAAGAGAGAGTAAAAAAAAACTTGCAAGAAGACCAAGATTCTGATTTTTCTTTCATTCACTACAACTACTGTTGCCATGGCATCGTTCATGTGACTCCTCTGTTACCAAACATGACTAGTTAAAAATATAAATTATCCCATTTTCACTACTAAGCTATGACTTTCATTAATAATCAAAACTGTGTCCAGCAAATTACTTTCTATAAATTGTCTCATACCATTATCACTAAAGACAATAGTGAAACTCCCACTGAAGTCAATTGTTTAGACAGGCATTGTTTGGTCTCTCTTGGTTCAGGAGTTGGAGCTATTGGACATGAACAGGAAAATGGAAAGATAACCGAACTGAAAGTTTCACAGAAATGGCTAATAATTTTCGTGAGCAGGATTGGCATGCCTCTTAATAGTTTGTGAAAGTTATGGTGGAGAAAAATTAAATAGACTCCTTAAAGAAGAAACTATTACTCTATTTCTCATTATTTATATATATTTATCTTTCTTTCTAGACCTTCCATTTTCTAATTGTATTCTCAGCAGCATCTTCATCTATATTTTTATGTCATATTTGTCCTGTTGAAGCTCAAACTGTGTCTTATAACTATGCATTTAATTTTTTATAGCAGTTACTGGTGTTATCATGTGAGGCTAAGACTTGATTTGCACTGAACGCTATTCAAGCATATAGCAAGGCACACAGACTGTGGTCTAAACAGATCACACAATAGCAAGTAGAAGCAGTTATGTCCAGGTAACTAGGAGGCATTCACAGAGAATAAACAACAGAACTGAGACCATCTTCCACTCTCATTAGCAAAACCTATTTATTCCCTTTATATGGAATGTCCTAGTTTTTGACAGCAGATAGTAAAAGCCATACCATGTTGTTACTTGATGCTGTGACTGTACACAGAACCACTGAGAAGGAGACCAGACAGCTTGGAATATGGCCTCATCTTCACCCTTCCTGTCACTAACTGACACGCCAGGGCTTAGGCAGGGACATTAGCACCAACTTCCAAAAAGCTGCAGCAAAAGCCAGCTGCAGAGAGTGTTCCCTGCTGAGAGTTTGGATGTCTTTACTGCACAGAGGCATCTACTTTAGGTCACCACTCAGCAGTGAATGGACAACAGTAATGTTACCATTTCTCAGGGCTAGAGCTTTGCCCTTGATATGCTTTCACTTTCCATGTTTGTAGATGTGTAAATATATAAATACATGTAGCTGTAAATATACAATATGTGTGTGTGTATACTTACATACCTATTTATCTAGGTGTATTTACATATGCATAC